ACTCTTGACATATCGGATATCTGTGGGTATATTTAGAAAAATGCAACAATTTAATAATGGGATATAAAAAAAAGGAAATTACAGATTGCTTTTTGAATCTAAACAAGTTAATTTGATACGGTTCATTTCATGGTTCACTTGGTTTAAATATTACTTAAAAGAGATTAGTTATACATATTTCCCTTAATTTAAAATGATATATTTTTGTCAAATAAAAATTGTAAAAAATTTCAATTTCTTAAAATGTGAAATTTAGTATGCAGTTTCGTTACCCTATAAAAAACCAGCACAGAAAAGCTTTCCGAATTAAATTTGATGCTTTTTTGGCTTAGATATGACTTTTTTTATAAAAAAAAAAATTACCATTTAAAATATAAAAATATTAATTTAAAGAGTGTGAATATTTTAGCTCTTCTTGAGGTGTTTTATGATTTCAGTCAGCGAAGGAGTCGTTTCCGACCCCATAAATCATATATATTCTTGATCAGCCCAAAAAGCGGAGTCGATCTAGCCATGTTTAGGAAAAAACAAATTCAAAAATTTTTTTTTAATTTTTGAGGTCCTAAAATTGTTGAAGTTGTCAAATAAAAATTGGAAAAAATTTCAATTTTTTTAAATTTGAAATTTAGTATGCAATTTTGTTACCCTAGAAAAAACTAGCACAGAAAAGCTTTCCGAATTGAATTTGATGCTTTTTTGGCTTAGATATGCCATTTTTTATATAAAAAAATACCATTTCAAATATATAAAAATATTAATTTAAAGAGTGTGAATATTTTAGCTCTTCTTGAGGTATTTTATGATTTTAGTCAGCGAAGGAGTCGTTTCCGACCCCATAAATCATATATATTCTTGATCAGCCCAAAAAGCGGAGTCGATCTAGCCATGTTTAGGAAAAAACAAATTCAAAAATTTTTTTTTTAATTTTTGAGGTCCTAAAATTGTTGAAGTTGTCAAATAAAAATTGGAAAAAATTTCAATTTTTTTAAATTTGAAATTTAGTATGCAGTTTTGTTACCCTAGAAAAAACTAGCACAGAAAAGCTTTCCGAATTGAATTTGATGCTTTTTTGGCTTAGATATGACATTTTTATTAAAAAAAAATTACCATTTAAAATATAAAAATATTCATTTAAAGAGTGTGAATATTTTAGCTCTTCTTGAGGTGTTTTATGATTTCAGTCAGCGAAGGAGTCGTTTCCGACCCCATAAATCATATATATTTTTGATCAGCCCAAAAAGCGGAGTCGATCTAGCCATGTTTAGGAGAAAACAAATTAAAAAAAAAAAAATTTTAATTTTTGAGGTCCTAAAATTGTTGAAGTTGTCAAATAAAAATTGGAAAAAATTTCAATTTTTTTAAATTTGGAATTTAGTATGCAATTTTGTTACCCTAGAAAAAACTAGCACAGAAAAGCTTTCCGAATTGAATTTGATGCTTTTTTGGCTCAGATATGCCCTTTTTTATATAAAAAAATACCATTTCAAATATATAAAAATATTAAATTAAAGAGTGTGAATATTTTAGCTCTTCTTGAGGTGTTTTATGATTTTAGTCAGCGAAGGAGTCGTTTCCGACCCCATAAATCATATATATTCTTGATCAGCCCAAGAAGCGGAGTCGATCTAGCCATGTTTAGGAGAAAACAAATTAAAAAAAAAAAATTTTAATTTTTGAGGTCCTAAAATTGTTGAAGTTGTCAAATAAAAATTGGAAAAAATTTCAATTTTTTTAAATTTGAAATTTAGTATGCAATTTTGTTACCCTAGAAAAAACTAGCACAGAAAAGCTTTCCGAATTGAATTTGATGCTTTTTTGGCTCAGATATGCCTTTTTTATATAAAAAAATACCATTTCAAATATATAAAAATATTAATTTAAAGAGTGTGAATATTTTAGCTCTTCTTGAGGTGTTTTATGATTTCAGTCAGCGAAGGAGTCGTTTCCGACCCCATAAATCATATATATTCTTGATCAGCCCAAAAAGCGGAGTCGATCTAGCCATGTTTAGGAAAAAACAAATTCAAAAATTTTTTTTTAAATTTTTGAGGTCCCAAAATTGTTGAAATTGTCAAATAAAAATTGGCAAAAATTTCAATTTTTTTAAATTTAAAAGTTAGTATGCAGTTTTGTTACCATAGAAAAAACTAGCACAGAAAAGCTTTCCGAATTGAATTTGATGCTTTTTTGGCTTAGTTATGATCGGTTTTTGATTGAATGACAGATCCTATGGCGAACATCAAGGGTATACAAATTTCGGCTTCCCGAAGTTAGTTTCATATTACTAAAAATACAATGTTTAATTGTCCCACAAGTTCATCTTGTGGTAAATAACCACAAAGCCGGCATGCGAATGGGGGCTAAGACGCACAACTCAAGACCTAAGGAATGGAATTCCTGTGAACAAAGGCAGATGAGCCCACGCAAATTGCTGGCTCGGCACATGCAAGTCATATTGCATTGTTTCCGGATGGAACGGAGAGGAACGAAACGGAACCATGGCAACATCTTATCATGGAATCCAGTGATATCTTTTCTTAATAACATTCATAGTTCCCCGCACACAATGCACACGGAACGAGTGGGAGGCTGGGGAATCCCCACATTTCACTTTAAACTGTTTGCTCTGCCCATAGACCATATTTGCAGTAGTTTCTTGGAACTACAAGTAGTAATGTTTGCCCTGCAGGATGTGGGAAAGGAACCACTTTATAATTGGAATACACATTGCGGCTTTAAGTCATTTTGCGTGCCCTGAAATTCGATTGGTTGTGCACCTGAATTCATGCTCGATTTAATTATTTCACCTTGGGGCGCGGTGCTGTGGACACATGAGCCGTGTGTTCGAGGCCCCACTGGAGGGAGACCCTCGGTATGTCTGTGTACTTATTATGTGATTCGCCTCTCCACCCCTGGCCAAGCCTCAGACTTGAGACAAAAGCCTCAGCCATGCCCTCAAGCTTGGAAGATGACTTCCCCTGCTTCCGCATACTCGACTCGCATCATGTAGTTTATTGTAAGGATCCAAGATGTAACTGCACTGCAATAAAAATTAATTAAAGATAGAAAGGGATTTTTAGGATGAAAAGCTGCAAATGAGTTCTATTGAAACCTTAAAAATACTATTATTTAAGCTTTACCTATACCCTCAACCCTGACTTTAACAGGAATATAAGGAAATTCATTAATCTTTAATAGATATTTTTCCCAAGTGAGGTTTTTCCCAGACTCCATGCCAACAAGTTGCTCATGCTCGTCCACTTGTTGCCCTTCTCTTGTTGTGTTCCCCTCTGTTCCATGCCTGAAAAACATAATTCTTGAGCAAGATTTTCCTTTCGTTTGGCTCTGTGCTTGGCTTTTTAGCCATATAGATGTTGGCTGAGGCAAGCGATAACCGGTTTCCCACAGCAGCAGCAATGTGAACCAACTTATTGCGCATGAGGCATTCGGTATTCCGATGATGATTACAACATGCGTCCGAATGGGAAACTGCTCTTTCGATGGCTATTCTTGTGGCCATCAGCGAGTGATTCACCTTGTAATCAGCTCGATTCCCCCAAGTCTTTAATCTTAAATTGGTGGCAAAGAGAGGGAAAGAGCCTTGTATATCGGTCGGGCCTCATTGTTTTGGCCCGACTTATCTCTGGTTATCAGACCTCGTTTTAGGGCCGCCTTTATTTCTGACCTATGGCGTGAGTTTTGTGGGGCCTTTGATACGTGGCCCCTTTGTGTGTGCGAGCTTGTGGGTGCTACTTCCCGATACACAAAGGCAGATAATGTACGCGGGTATGTCTATAAAGCGAGTACGTGTTATCGACGAACTGGTGAAGTGTTCTACGGTCATTATGAAATTCGACAGCAACAGGAACTTGTAAGAAGTCAAAGAATATACATACATTAAGAAAGCTTTGGTTAGATGTAAATAATTAGAGCATTTACTATCAGAGTTTTTTTTTATTGATAATTACTCTTATACATTAAAAAAGCTAGAGTTTAGTGTATGTCTTTTTAAATTTGCCTAAAGCATTCGTTTTGTTTATGGAATATTTAAAGCACCTCGCAAAGAGATCTTTGGACCCATCTACCAAACCGGAGCACATGCAGCCGGCACGTGTCGTTCTAGATTTGCAATTGTAATACGAGAGAACATCAGCATCATGATCATCATCTCCCCCCAGAGAATTGCGGCCACAATTGTGCTAGTCGAGCATTGCACTTGATCATGGGCGATCGGTGATCACGATCACGCGTTGTGATCAATGTGCGCCCGCCTGACCCCCCATGGCCTTGGCTTCTATTCGAAGATCTTGGCGAATATATCGCTCGATATATGCATGCCTTCCTGCCCTTTGCTGGCTGTCATTTGTCACATTGAGCTCTAGAACTAGAGCAGTGGGAAAGGTAATTGAAATGGCTAATTTATGCCACACTTCATTTGCCTTTTTCTCACGAGCAGTGCGCTGTGCCAATGAATAAAGAATGAATCGGAGGGGAGGGCATGATATGAGGCAGTTAATTGATATCAATTGCTGTGACGCTTTCTTTAAAACGCATTTAGCACTGTCCCCGATAAGAGCCGATAAGAAGTGGGACCACACCTCAACCAAAACACTTTGAAAGCCAAGCGGATGCCAGGGCTTGTGGGTTCGAGTCACTCTTATCATCGACTATCAGGGCGACCCGACACAATTACGAGCTGTTTGCCGCACAAAATTGTGCTATTATTAAAACAAAGTACATACTTGGGACAGCACAGGCAAAATCAAATCGTCCACTTAATCTGCTATTCGTAATCATGTTCATTAATTAACGATTTGATTGCCAACAAGCGAGTGTGTGCAGCGCGAGTCAATGACTTTAATCAATACCACGTTTTAAATGCGCCTCGGGGCTTTACCTATTTTCTATTGTTTCTTTGTTTAATATAGATTCTAGAATAACTAAAACAACCTTGATATTATATTATTATTATTATTTATTATTATTTATATTTTTTACAGGTAAACTTTTTACTCTGCCAAATATCGGCTCTCTTCCTGGCCTCGCTCTTCCGGTCCGTGCTGCATCCTTCGAAGGTGTCCAGCAAGTTGAGGCACACCTTTGCCCTATCGATTGGCCTGGCCTTTGGCTACTTTTGCTTTGGCCAGCAGGCTATTCACATTGCCGGTTTGCCGGCAATATGTTACATTGTCATTCGCACCCAGGATCCACGCATCGTTCAAAGGTAATTACTTGTGTCTTATGAAAAGTCCTTGCTAATTATTTTGACCTTTACAGAGCCGTTCTGCTGGTGGCCATGAGCTATCTATTGTGCGTGCATCTCATGCGTCAGCTTTATGACTATGGATCCTATGCCCTGGACATCACCGGGCCTCTAATGATCATTACACAGAAGGTAACCAGCTTGGCCTTCAGCATCCACGACGGCTTTGTGCGAAGGGATGAGGTGAGTTTTAAGTGAATCTTATTTTTCTTTATTTTAGTTTTAATAAATATATTCTCTTGACAGGACCTAACCAAGGCCCAGCAGTATCATGCCATTCGTAAAATGCCCTCGGCTTTGGAGTACTTCTCCTATGTGTGGCACTTTCCCAGCATCCTGGCCGGTCCTTTGGTCTTTTACAAGGACTACATTGACTTCGTGGAGGGCTACAATCTGTTGAGCAGCCCGTCAGGCAACGTAAGTTTATTTTTTGTGGTTTCGTAATGGTCACTGCAGTAATTTCATTATCTGAGAAGCACTGCAGCACCTTTATTACTATTTATTATTTGGGTTATGACACTCGTTATTTATAATTTCACAAAGAAAACGAAATTCAATTGTAAAGGAAAAGGTTAATGGAATGTTTTTCAGGGTAAATGTTTATTAAAAGTAGCTAAAATCCTTTTTTAAGTCACATTATCAAAGTTATAAAGTTCTTATTAATATAAAAGTTAATAGAGCTCTTTAGTGGCTTATACATTCTATATTTTTGATTGATTACAAACTTGAAATTCCCCTTCATTCCCAGGGCAATCTGGACAACAGCAAGAAGGAAGTCGTCCTGGAACCCTCACCCACGAAAGCGGTTATACGCAAAGTGGTCGGCAGTCTGGTGTGCGCCTTCATATTCATGAAGTTCGTCAAACTATATCCCGTGAAAGACATGAAAGAGGATGACTTCCTAAACAATACCAGCATGGTCTACAAGTACTGGTACGCCATGATGGCTACCACCTGCATACGCTTTAAGTATTATCATGCCTGGCTCCTAGCGGACGCCATATGCAACAACTCAGGTTTAGGTTTCACCGGTTACGATAAGGATGGCAACCCCAAATGGGACCTGATATCCAATATTAATGTGCTGTCGTTTGAGGTGAGTAAGAATCAATCTTTAAAAATCTTCTTCCTTTAACTAAAATTACTTGATTTTTCGTTATAGTTTTCCACAAACATGCGCGATGCCATTAACAACTGGAACTGCGGCACCAATCGCTGGCTACGTACGCTCGTCTATGAGCGCGTGCCCCTCAAGTATGGCACACTTCTCACCTTTGCCCTTAGCGCCGTCTGGCACGGCTTCTATCCGGGCTACTACCTAACCTTTGCCACTGGCGCTGTCGTTGTGACAGCAGCGCGCACCGGTAGGCGACTCTTCCGTCATCGCTTCCAGAGCACGCAGGTCACCAGGATGTTCTACGACATTCTCACCTGCTTGATCACACGCGTCGTCCTGGGCTACGCCACATTCCCATTCGTTCTGCTTGAATTTATGGTGAGTCTAAAGGTGGTGAAGTTTGGTCTTCTTTGTGGAGGATTTTTAAATTTTGGTTTTAAAATTGAAAATTAGACAGCGAATTCCCAAAATTGCCTCAAATTCGGATGCACCGTTCAGAAGCTATAAATTAACTATAAATTCAATTCCTCTGGATATTAATTCGATTTCTAATCATTGTTTTCAAGTTATAAAGTCAATTTTTAATTTCTGTAAACATAGAATACAATGGCTTACAAACTTTCCATACTTGCAGGATATTTCTTCCCTTTTTCTCCAACTCACCCCATATGCATATATAATTTTTTCTACATTTTCTTCCCCCACAAAAATCAAAAATCAACAACGTTTTTTAACCGACTCCATATATTCTGTTTCGCTTTACAGGGCAGCATCAAATTGTACCTGAGATTTTATTTGTGCCTTCACATCATTTCACTAGTGACCATATTTATTTTACCCAAGTTTATACGCGGCGAGCGCCGGTCTCGTGCTGGGGCGGCCAACGGAGGCTCCAGCGTACAGCTGGCGGCAAGTGAATTGCCCTCAGCAGATGCTAAAGCTGCCACCTTGACCGCTGGCAATGATCTCAACAAGGATGAGGCGGAGGAGGAGAAGGAGGACAAGCATGCTCATCAATGTAAAGTCAACACGCCAACACACCAACAGCCAGCTGCTGCTGCTGCTGCTGCTTCACCACACAACACAACAACAAATGAACAACAACAACAGTCAACTGAGCAATCGAACAATGTATATCTACGACAACGCCACCCACAGCAGCAACAGCAGCCACATCTGGAGAAGATGCCGAAGCCGAAGCCCACGAGTGCCCGCGACGCCGTCAGCGTGCCCCATGACCAGTGCGAGATGGATCAATTGTCCAGCAAGCTGAAGGAGAAGATCGAGGCGGAAACCAAAAACATTGAGGAATTTATTGACAAGACTGTAACCGAGACCGTTAGCGGCATTGTGGAGTTCAAGAACGATCTGATGCGCGACATTGAGTTCCCCAAGCTGAAGCTGCCTGGCAGTAATGCTGGCGCTAACCTGGACTCTGCCGTGTCGGGAGGAGGTCTACGCAAACGCAACATTATATCCTCTGTCCATGACAATGGCACAGACTCTGCTGGCAATGCTTCTTCGGCCACCATTGAGCACGAGGAGAATTTCCTAAAGAAGGAGATCGATGTCATCAATGCGGTGGTGCAGCAGGCCAATGTCCTGCCGGCGGTGCTCAGCAATGGTCATGCCAAATAGTAGCAGCGATTAGCAGCAAGTGTGGGGCAACTGATAGGATACACAAAAATTAATAATAACAACAACAACAACAACAACGATGATAAAGATAGAGATGTCACGGCAGGGAATGGAGGCACACCTGATCGATTGATTAATAGTTCGAACTGAGAGAGAGATTTATCAAATACGCACACAATATGAAAGCACACAACAGAGACACACACACACACCAGGCGACACTTTTTGATGGCAAGGATAGAGAGTGGTTCTAGTTGAAAGTCCTGAAGTACACTGTAACTGAGGTAATTGTCTTAAAACACGAATTAGCCAAATAATAAATAAGTATTCGACACACAACAGTCAGCAGCCAAGACCAACCTATGTTCAAATTTAACTAAATGTGCACCGGAAGTCTAATTGTTGTTACCCCAAAAAAAAAAAGAACAAATCAAATCTATGTATATGTACGTTTTTGTAGATGTTTGTTTGTTAAAAATCCCGCGGCATGAGGCCTGAATAGAGCGTTCCAAAGTTAAACGGCATACATATCCTGTTTTTACACCGAGAGATATATAGAAGGGATAACCGTATATGTGAATATACATCCCTAATATAAAATTAATAATTTTATATAATTTATATCTCCAGTAACAGACCAAGAACTTGACCGTCTTTGGAACATTCTGTTGGCCTCGCGCCTTTTAATTGAGAAACTCATCCAAGCATTATATGTATGTGTATATATATATGTTAAAATGTTTATCATATAGTCTATGTGCGAACTAAACTCAATTTTCCAGCATCTTTACTATCTATTGTAGTTGAAATCCCGCCCAAAACGGAACCAGAACAAGTAGAACCAATGAAATCCTCTTCACGCCAATAACGCGGAAAACAAAACGAACAAGAAGTCAACCAAATCTTAACGTTAGACTGAAGCTATTGACAAAAGTAATAAGCAAAAAAGCAAAGCAAATTGTGTGTAGTTCAAGTTAGTTAGTAAGCCGTTGAGTGTTGCTTTTTGATATTCAATTTATTTCCGATTTGGTATGGGAACAGAGAGTGTCTGTCCAGCTTGCTTCCACTAAATATACTCTACACCTTTTTTATTCGTAATTTTTTGATTTTAATTTTTGTAAATGTCGGTGTCCTCCACTTGTGGCTTCCTCCTACTCCGTAGATTTTAAGCACGCACTTTATATAACCTACCCTCCTCTTTGTTAGATTTTACATATAATAAACGATTTCGCCACAAATCCTCATCACATATGGAACTATATACATATATATATTTTTATATTTATTGTAATATGAGAAGAAAGCAGAACAGAACGATATCTCAGCCAGCGCACATTTGTTCGGCGGAAAAGGTCGCCGCCACAGGCACAACAAGACACACACTTTGCTGTTATGCAGTCCAGTTGCATCCAGAAGATATATACAAAACCAATTTGGGCATTGATATTCGACAAATAAATCGTATATATATGTGTAATCTTCGTTTGATTTCATTTATTTACAAAGAAAAGCAAGACTTCAATCTTTTTAAATGTAAAAAATACAAAGTATGTTATTCTAAGCAGCGGATGAAGTCTTCGATTCTTCATCCCCAAACTTCAGACTGCCGGTGATCTTGTAGAAATCATCTTCACCGCGGGACTTGAGTACGCACAGATGCACAGCCTGGCACTGGGCCACGCCAAAGTCAAAGCCGCCAAAGCGCTTGAGTATTTCACGAGCATCGAAGCTGTCGGAGCACTTCATCACCTCCTTGCGATAGCGGTTGTTCATCACTGTCATGTGCAGCTTGATGGATTCACGCTCGTTATTGTCTGTGGCGCACAGTCCGGTGGTCTGGAAGTGGGCCAGGCACTGATCAGCAAACTTCTGTAGCTCCAGAGACTCGATGTGGGCGTAGAGAATACGCGTGGAGCTGGGATCATCGTTCATAATCTCTAAACCCTTGACTGTCATTTCGAAGGGTGTCTTAAGGTTTGTCAAAAGGGAGCGACAGGCCTCCAGCTCGTTCAGAGCCCGCTGGCGCTCATCGTCATCGAGCAGCACATAGACGCCCAGCGTAAGGTGGATGGAGCGTTCGGAGATGAACAGCTCCTCATCGATGCCCGGGAGCTGGGCCTCCAAAATGCTTTTCTGAGAATAAAAAGGGTGAAATATTACCAGCTACCTCTCTCATTTATATCTACTTACCTTAAGCTCCACAAAGCGCTCTTGGACCTGTCCAGAGTTCAGAGCCACAGCTAGGAAGTGCGTGGGCTTCATCTTCTTGCGCAGGGAGCCAATGAGGTGGCGGATTTGTCGCAAGGCAGCGCACACCCTGTCGCGTTGCTTGGCCTTGATGAGTATATCGTTGGACTTTTCGTTCTGACGTGGAACGTAAATCTCCGTTCTGGTCTCCTCTTCAATGCGACGCTTCGTGGAGCCCTTGAGGCCAATCAGTCCGCCATAGAAGGACCTGCAGGGAAGCCGGATTAGGGGGAGATTTTAAGCATTTTCCCGTATCTCACTCACTTGGGCACGTGCAGCGCCAGCTTAAAGTCTCCGTTTGGAGCCTGCTCAATGTTGCTGGCGGCCGGATCGTCTTCCTCATCGTCTTCGCCATAGAGATCTGGGGAAATACCATTACCATGAAAGCTGCTCTAGATCACTTGGTGAACGCAGCACTCACCCGGTTCCTGGTAAACATTGCTAGCCGGTTTTCCACCTTTATTTTGGCCATTCCACTTGGCGCCACCGAAATCCTCATGCACCACGTTGACGCGGTAGCGGCGATTGTGGCTCATCGTTTGCACGGGAGGATCTAGCACTTCGCGGCTCATCTTGGGAGGAAAAATATTCAACGTTCCGGCAATTCAAGGGGAAATCCCGAAATGTAGTGAGCTTCTACAAGGAATTGGCGTCTCTTAATAGCGATGGCACTGTCGAAAGCATGGATGGACTATCGCGATTGAACAGTGTTGCCACCAATTTGAAATTCTATGAATTTTTTTTCAATAATAAATAATAATTAAATACATAAAAAAATAATAATTAAAAAAATATATATTTATTATTTTATAAGCATAAGTTATTTTTATTCTCTTTTCATGTAAAGGTCTTATTTACAAAGCGAGTCGGCATTTTAAAAAGTAATGAAATTAAAGTATGCAGAGGATTCTTCTGAAGTCTTCAATTTTTCAGGAGTCTTTCTTCTTCTTCTGAAGTTTTTTGAATTCTTCAAAAGTCATCATATCTGAATTTTTTGATTTCTCTGAAGTCTTGGATTCCTTTGAGGTTTTTGATTCTTTTAAGGTATTAGATTTTTCTGAAGTCTTTGATTCCTCTGAAGACTGCAATTCTTCTGAAGTCTTTAATCCTCCTGAAGCCTTTGAATCCTCTGATATCTTTGATTCCTCCGAAGCCTTTGGTTCACCTGAAATCTCTGATTCTTCCCTCCCAAACTTCAGGCTGCCGGCAATCTTGTAGAAATCATTCTCGCGCTGCATGGCACACAAGTGCACGACCTGGCATTGGACTGAGCCAAAGTCAAAGTCGCCAAAGCGCTGCAGAATCCGGGTGGAATCGAAGCTTTTGGCACACTTCTTTATCACCTCCTTGCGATACCGATTGTTCATCACTGTCATGTGCAGCTTAACGGATTCATTGTCGATATTGTCCTTGGCGCACAATCCGGTGGTCTGAAAGTGGGCCAGGCACTGGTCCGCGAACTTCTGCAGCTCCGGAGATTCGATTTTGGCGTAGAGAATGCGCGTGGAGCTAGGAAATTCGTGCATGATCTCCAGGCCCTTGACTTTAATGTCAATCGGACTTTTTGGGTCTGGCAAAAAGGAGCGACAGGTCTCCAGCTCCTGGACAGCCCTCTGGAGCTCGTCGTCGTCGATAAGGGCATAGATGCCCAGCGTGAGGTGTATGGTGCGCTCCTGGATGAACAGCTCCTTGCTAATGCTGGGAAACTGGGCCTCCAAAATGGTTTTCTGCAAAAGTGTAAAGTATATTGTCTGCTCACACCTTTACCACTTCTTACCTTCAGCTCTAGGAAGCGTTCCAGGACCTGGCCCGTGTTCAGAGCCACGGCTAGAAAGTGCGTGGGTCTCAGTTTCTTGCGAAGAGCGGCAATTCGGTTACGAACTTCTCGCAGGGCAGCGCACACCTGGTCGCGTTGCTGGCCCTTGATCACCACGTCGTTGGATTTATCGTTTGGTTGTGGAATGGTTACCTCCGTTTTGGTCTTCTTTTCTATATATCGCTGTGTGCCCCCATTAGGGCCCACTAGTCCGCTGAAAAAGGTCCTGCCAGGCGAATGGTTAATGTGGGATTGCCATAGTTTCTTTAGAACTTACTTGTTTATTTTCAAGGTGAGCTTGTAATCGCCGTTTGGAGTCTGCTCAATGTTGCTGGCTGCCGGATCATCTGTGGGTGGTGGGGGGTAAGAGCTGAGTAACTCGGAAATCTTCCTGAATAAAGTGCTTACCTGGTTTCCCCCGTTTGGTGTCACCTCCGACATCCTCAGGCACCACGTTAAGGGGGCGTTTAAGGCTCATCGGTTGCACCGAAGAATCTAGCACTGTGTCTCCCATTTTAGGCGGAAAATTGTAAAAGTTCTGAGCAAATTAAGGACTCCAAAGAAAATATTTATAAAGGCAAAAACAATCGAAGGTGCCGGCTATCGATAACTGATTACGTTATCGGTGGTGACAGTCGCAAGTGAGCAGTGTTGTAAAGTATACAAAATGTTTAAATTAACGTGTTTTTAAATTTAAATTAAACTTTTTAAGAATCGAAAATATGTAAACATTTACAAGAACCGAAAAATATATAAGATCAAGCTCTAGATAACACTATTTCAGGTATCAAGCAAGCTTTTAGTAAAGGCTGGGGCAAAGTGGAATTTGTAGAATACATTTTTGCTGCTTCACTTATGGTAAAACCCATTTTAAAATTAACCTTTTCTGTTTCTCTTATTGCAAACCCATTAAAAATCTCTTCCTTTTTGATTTTGTGTTTATTTGGTAATTTGCTTTTTGGGTAAATGTCTCACAACAACTAGTTTACGTCTAGGTTAATGTTATGCAATGTTCTGAAAACAAGCCTCTGACCCGATCTCACATCCTCATTTTCCGTTTTTGGAACTGTTTTGATTTCATTGAATTTTTTTGATATGGGCATGCGAACCTACAACTATATAGTCTGCATATATGCACGTCCATCGCTGGTTGGGCATGGAAATACTATGTAGCACGATCTTGACTATTATAATATAAAGTTATATACGGGTATTTTGTAGTTCATGTCTTTTTAAACTCAGTTCTTTTTGCGCAACTTGTGGTGCTCAGTTTGTTGGTTTGTTGTTTTTGGTATCCTCTTCTCACAAAATCCTCATATGCTCGGTAGAACGGAAGGATAACAAGCTACAAGATAGTTAGACAGGGAGTGGGTGTGGTGCAAGTGATGACTGTGAATGAGAACGTACAGATAGATAGTACAGATATTCGTAGATAGATAGTATTTGATAGAATCAGCAATATCGGTGAGGCATTCGAACTCTGCAAACTCAGGAACTCAGGAACTCAACTAGTAATTTGATCGCTACTAAAACACGATTAACTTTTATGGGGGCAACCAACTATATCCATATTCTAGGCCACTTCGCAGTCCTCCTCCTCGTCCTCGCGCTGCACAAACAGCCGATGATTGCGGGCCTCCAGGATGGACCACACAATCAGCGGCGTACAGCCCAGGACCATGCAGGAACCCATGCAGTAGAAACAGATCTCATAGTCGCCGGAAAGATCCCTCATCAGACCCGCCAGCGGTGGCACCGAAATGGCCCCAATACTCTGAAACATGCGCACCAGGCCATAGCTGGAGCTGATCCGGTCTGTGCCAAAGACATCCGCCAGGAGCACGGGCATTAGGACATACCAGCTACCCAGGCACAAGCCATAGACGGCTGCTGACAAACCCACCAGGATCAGGGTCTTGGCAAAGGGTATGGTGAGCACGGCCAGGCCAGCACCCAAAATGCTGCAGAGGAAAAAGGAGAAGCTTTGAGGTTGGGTACTAATTTCAGTATTCTTGAGGATTACCCACCACAGTGTGTAGGTCTTTTTCCGGTCGAAAAGCTGCAAATCGGATAGCCAGCCTAGACCCAGGCGACCACACAAGTCCAGGACGGCGCTGATGGCCACCAGGTAGCCCGCCTCGCTTTTATTGTAGCCTAAGAAAAGGAAAAGTACATTAAATATCAGAAATATATCCCCAGGGAAATGCCTCACCTATGGAAATGACATGGGCGGGCAGGTAGTAGAGCATATAGGGACATCCAACCGACATCAGGGTGACCGATAGGCACATCAGTATAAATCTTGGCTCCTGCAGCAAACTGATGTCCAAATACATTTCTATCCGCTCGCAGCAGGTGCGTGGTCCCTGCTCCTCGTCATCATCATCGTCATCGTCCTCATCGGCAGCAGTTCCTCGACGACAGTCGCCATCAATGGACTCCACCACCAGCTGGGAATCGTTGAGAACACTGTGCTCCGCCTGCTCCTGCTTGAGCTCGCTGAGATTACTAACCGGCGTGGGTATCTCCATGCTCTTGCTCAGCCCACGACTAACCACACTTGGCGGCGAAAGGGGCTTCTCCAGGTGGGCCTGGATCTTGGATATCACCTCGTCATTGGCAAACACATTGCGACGCCGGCGACTGCCTCGATTAGAGTCGGTGCCAGAGTGTTTGCGGTACACCCAAGTGGAGTCTGTGCTGAGATCCTCGACAGAGTGAAGCAGGCCAGAGCTGCGTACCTTTTTCATAGGCTTGATGAAGGTGGTCTCACCAATAATGTCCTTAACCTCGTCATCGCTCTCCTGAGCCGATTTGTCCTGGGCTAAAGGGGAATAATCTAGTTTAGTTTCCTAAGAAACATTTTTCCTTGTGCTTGACTCACCTGGCTGCTTGCTGTTATAGTAGTTAAGGTGATTCTTGGACTCCTCCAGGAACAGATGCTCAATGAACTTGTCGTTTAGCTCGTTGCCCCTGCCCAGCTCACACGTATCCAGGTAGGTCGAGGTGGTCAGTATGCCCGTGGTGCTGGGATTGATGTCCTCATTGAGAGGCTTAGCTGTCTCCTCCTCCTGTCCCTGCTCCTGCTCCATGTAAGCACTGATAGGGCGATATAAAGTGGCGGAGACGCAAACATGCAGCATGCAGCCGCCCAGGATAAGGATGGTGCCATGGAAGCCCCAGGCTTCCACCAGATGCTTTATCAGCACGGGGAGTATGAAGCTGCCGGCGGCAGTGCCGGAAACGCAGATGCCATTGGCCAGAGCCCGATGCTTATCGAAGTATTGGGAGACTATCACGATGCCTGGGGTGGTGGAAAGCCCGCCGCCAATTCCTTTAAAGGAGAAATAAGTTATTAGATTTTATAGGTAGCTTTAAAAGATATTACAACCCACCTGTGAGTATGCCAAAGGTGAAAAGCAAGTGCAACAGACTGGTGGCAAAGTAACTGAGTATCATGCCCATGGCACAGAAGATTCCGCCTACAAAGACCACCGCTCGGCAGGAGAATCGCTGGCACAAAGCACTCGACAGTGGAGCCAGGACCAAGCACAAAGCCGACAGAATTGCAGGTATCCAAGAAGCCACCGTGGCCGTAGAGCTGGGAAACGTTTCCATTATCTCCACGTACAGCACGCCATAGGATTTGACCAATCCCGCCACCCAAAACTGCACGGAGAAGGCTCCAAAGACAATGAACCAGCCGTAGCCACCGTCCGGAGGCTCCACATTCCCTCCGCCACTCTCCGTTGTGGTCGTCGAGGAGTCGCGATCCTTGGGCAGCTGCTTGTTACGCTTCACATTCGAGAGCGGAACACGATCCCGCTCCTTTTCGCGCTCTTTGGCCCGGCGGACGCACCTGCTCCGGGCTGTATTTAAACCGGAACCGGAACTTGACTTCCGGCTGCTCCGCAGCTCGTGCGATTTCGCGATCAACGGACGCGCCGTGATGCTGGACACGGTCAGCAGGTTTTCATTGTCGTCCTCCTCAATTTCCGAGATCTGGTGCTCCAGCAGGCTGGCGTGCAGGGTCCTTGGGCAGCAGGGCGCATCCAGGGTGAGGGTGGCAGGTCGGCGGATGGGCGAGGGTGAGGGCGAGCTGCAGCGGGATCGGGATCGAGATGGAGATGGCAGGCATAGCGCTTCCATTTGCTTGACATCGAGCTCGGCCAGCGGCTCAACGATGTCGGGCAGGGGTGCCGGCGGAGCGGAGACCACTGAGAAAAGGGAGCCGCATTCGAGGCCACCGCCCACTCCGCCGCTATTGCCACCCCCAACGGCCACGCCACCCCCTCCGCCGGGCGCTGTTGGCTTTGTGTCGAGAAGGAACCCTCCCGACTCGTACTGGACTCCACCAGCTGGGTCCGGTTCACTCGCGCAGTAAACCGATCCCCGGGAACCCTGGAAAAAATATAAATATTATAGTATATAAATATACAAGTAAGAAAGCTAACTTTGGCCAGCCAAAGTTTGTATACCCTTGCAGGTAACAATTAAAATATATCATAACTAAGCCAAAAATGCATTAATTTCGATTCGGAAAGCAGTTTTGTGTTAGTTTTTATTAATTTAAAAAAACTGCATACCAAATTTAAAATTTTAAGAAATCAAAATGTTTGGCCATTTTTGCTTATTTTAATGATGTAACCCCTTATCAAATTTCGCAAAAATGGCAAAAAAATCTATTTCTTCCGGACATGTCTAGAAAGATTCGCATGTTAATGCTGATCAAGAATATATATGGTTTATGGGGTCGGAAATGATTCCTTGACTTAGAAAAATATTATTTTGTATTATAAAATCGGATTTTTTGTATTAAAAACTTCTTTATTTTTTTTTTTAAATTAAAAGTATTATAACTCGGCCAAAAGAGCATTAATTTTAAATCGGAAAACTGTTCTGTGCAAGATTTTCTACAGTTAATTAATCTGCATACTTCATTTAAAAATTTGGAAAATTCAATTTTTTATCAAAATAAAAAATTTTAATGATGTAATGATGTATCAAATTTCGCAAAAATGGCCAAAAAATCGATTTCTTCCTGACATATATAGAAAGATTCCCCTGTTGATGCTGATCAAGAATATATATACTTTATAGGGTCGGAAACGTCTCCTTCACTGCGTTGCAAACTTCTGACTAAAATTATAATACCCTGCAAGGGTATAAATATATATAAATAAGGAAGATATTTAGTAAAGTCGACGAGTAACAAGGACGAGTAAGCACAAGTCAGGACTTAGGCACGACTAAGATGAGTAAATATGGCGAGTAAAAAACCGATTTAGGACGAAAGTAAAATCAACGAGTAATGACAATAATGAGAAGAGATGAAGAAGTTTTTATTTCCTCTACAAAAATTTCATTTATCATAAAATGTATTTATCAATAATTATTAAGAAAAATCCCTACGTTAACAACTCAATCATAATTTCTTATTTGTCTTTCCAGCTTAACCTTTCTTATTATTTATTATAAATAAAATTCCGTCCCCCAACCTGAACATTGTTATGGAACCCAAAATAAAAACACCCACCCCCTCCCGTCTGGCAAAACTTTAATTACCAAAGAATTTGTCAACCCACCATTATTATGAGTTACTGCCTTGCATTTGCATGCCTCGCAAAAAATACCTCCTCCAGGCAGTGCCATTATAAAATGGGTTAACTTTCCATAAATCCGGCGGCCCCTTTGACAAATCGACTGGAGGCGGGTCAAGGAAGCAACAATTTAGCCTAATTTGCCTTGCTAAGTGAATGCGAGGAGCGCACGCGATTTTGATTCGACTTAAGGACGATGTCGCGCTGAAATACTCTTAATATATGCATTACATTTATACGTTTTGTTTAATTGAGTTAACAACCTGCAGTGCATAATCCCTTTCCCACAAACCCAGCGGATTTTCTCCGCCATTATAATGTGTACTTTTGTTAAATCGATGCCGAGGTGCAGGTGCATGCTGGGCTTTTCGGGGTTGGCATGACGTTTGGGAATTTTCCATTTTCATTTTCATTTCCATTTTGTCTGCGGGATCCGCTCCACTTCCTTCTAGTTCAGGGTCAAGTGCAAGGTGGGGGTGTTGTTCTGGCCCTGCGGTGGCCGGATATTGACGGGGCAGGGATTCGATTTGGGTGGCGATAAGGCAAGGGTATTTGCTGGCGCCCTCAAGGCTAATGCAATGTTCGAACTCAGGGCTGATGGCAGGAAGCATTTCGAGTGATAAGGATTCTGCTTTCGCTGGGAAAGCCAGTAAACTTGGCTAAGCCCTTGAAAAATGTCAAAAATGAGCAAGAACTTAGGGGGAATATTTGGTGGGTTTACATAAGACCTTAAAAGAAGCTTTTAGCAACTCTTTTTATTAATTTAATGACAATTAAAACTTAGTATCGTCCTTTTAAAAGATTCTCTTAGCCCTTTCTTTAAGCCACTTTTCTAATTCATTGCCATAACACTGTTTACTAAGTATTACGCGTAATTTCTAAGGTAAACTGACCCCACCAACGTACATAAAAATTCACCTTAACTCATTTTCTAATAGCTTTTCATTTCCTAACTTTGTTTTCTTATCTAACACCTAGTTCTTAGTATTTGCCCACCCCTTCGTATACGTAATATGATATACCGCTAAACAACACACATCAAGTATGCGACGCGTGAACCAATCGGTGAAATGGAGGGAAAGTCGAAGTCCATATACGTACGTACGTTCACTTTATATGTGCACAGGTGACGTGCCTTAATCCAAGCCCCTTTTTTTAGCCCTCTAACTCTACACTTGAGCCACCTGGAGCCACCACCCACTCAGAAGTGCACTGGGAAGAAAATAATAATGAGTTCTAGGGGATGTATTGGGTCGAAAGACACAAAGATTATTTTTTTTTTAATTTCTGGATATTCTAAAGAGGGAAATCATTATTCTAAAACTTTTTAAGGAATATTAATTGTTAAAATCCTAATGAAAGTGTTAATAGCCTTCATTAACCAATAATCACATTGAATAAACTCCCCGAAACACTACTTTAAACAAAAAACTACCCAACTTATAACCAATTTACTTCGAATTGTATTTAATTGTTCCATCGCAGCAAGTTTACACTTATAAATGTATTATTATTTCTCTCAGTGTCCTGTATTATGGCGTGTATCGAATTCTGTGAACGTGCCGCTAATGGACTGCCTGCCATATTGATGGCGGAAAATAACCGTGGAAAATGGCAAATAATAGGCATGCAACATTCAACGGCGACTGCATCATCATCCTCGCCATCATCAGGGAATTTGAAAATCTGACACAGCTAATGAGCATTTGGCCAAAAACTCTTGGCATTTTGGCACCAGAGACTCCCAGTACCTTCTCCAAGCCCACCCAAAACCGTGACTCACAGCAGCAGCCTCCCCCGAGCACAAAACGAAAGCCTTTGTGACCTTGTCGAATGTCAAAGAGCCCAAGACCCACGCCACCAGGCATTGTAATTGCGCCATATCCTGGCATCCCACTGTCAGCCGGGATCCGGCTTAAATTGTCAGCAAAAGAAAGTGCAGAGCTTTTCAATCGCTGTTTGTTTTCAATTTCCCAGCATTTCAAGGCCAGCAGCTTAATGAAACGGAAAACCTGTCCCCCAGTCCGGCTCCCTGCTTCCTCCGAAACCGAGTTAGTGCCTCGTGGAGTCGCGTGGCTCTGAGCCTGAACGATAAGCGGTCAAGGTGAGAGGTGGCAAGGCTCGCAACTTGTTGAGCAAAGGATATATACTCGATGGTAATTGCAGGCGAGAGAGAGCCCAGGATTGCGAGAGTGTGTGTAAGTGTGTGCAGCGCCTCAAAGTAGGCCGTGGATTTTATGTAATCAACAGGAGATTGAATAATGAATAAGAATGCAGCGTGGCAGGGAATAAGAATCATTACTTAAAGTAAAGTATAACTTATAAAAAATATAACTTAAATATAGATTAAGGAAAATAATACACAATAAAACATCTTCTTTACTAGTCCCATACAAATGTTCTTATATTAGACTCATATAACCGTAAAAAGGTCTAGTTTCTAATATTACATCAAAGTTAACGATATTTACTATTCTGAGTGCATAGTTTTTGCCCTATATTATATCGCACTTATCCCCTAGATATGTCCCCTAGATATAAGCCTAGATTGACCATTACCTAAGCTACACTGCCGACTATTTAATCAAAGAAATGAAATAAATATAAATAATATAAAAATAAAATAATAAAGGCTTCTCTTAGGCTTGGATTGGCTTAACAAAACCTACAACTTGACATCATAAAACTTAAATTTCAAAATAATTAAAATAGGCTCTTATCTTTAACATGCCAGTGCCTTTGTTTTCAGTGCATTTCCTTCGCCTATATAAACATAAACTCTAGTTAAAAAGCCAACTTTAATTCAGGGTTAGCCTTCATCTTTGTTTACTTCTCCCTGTCCGCCTTTGATAAGGCCTGTGATAGATGATGCAGCTGCAGCTAGCCATATGTGCGGGCTGTGACGTTGACCCATTCTTGTATGGCTTTCACGATGTGTTTACCTACTCGTAACTCTGATTAAAGGACCCACTGCGCATGCTCACCAAAAGGCAGAGGACCTCAAACTACCTCACTATATTTGCCATTGGCCCACTCCCCCACTGCCAGCAGCATCATCTCAGAAGGGAGGGGTTAGGGTATGAGCGTTTCTTGACCTTCCCGAAGGATGGCTAATGAAGGATGCTCCACTCTACTCACCTGTAAATGCCAGTCACGCTGTAGGGACGACATTGGCGTCCTTTACTGAACGTGAAACGCCTCTGATGTTTCTCTTGTTGCTCGCGCTGTTGTTGTTGTTGCTTGGGGCGTTGTTGTTGTGCACCCAAATGCATTGGGTTGCCTCTGATTTGGCTCCTGAAAATCCTAAAGAGCTGACGAACGCGGGCCTTCACCGGTTGGCCCAGTTTTCTTAGCAATTCTGCGGCTCTGCCGCTTTACAACTTGGCACTTGAAACCCTTTTTGAAAGGTGGGCTTCCTTCGAATTTGCTGCTCCTTTTCTATGTGAGAGAAGGGATGCTGCTGCTGCTGGTATGATTTTGTATGGCTTCTGCTCAAGGCTGAGATCCTGGCTGCTGTTGCTGTTGTGGCGTCATGATGCCCATTGATAATAGTCTAGCTTCTTGGCTTCCTTTTTGTTCCCCTTTGTTTAGGCAGCAGCTGTTTCCGCTTCCGCTTCCTGGTCTCGTCTCTCGTCCCTCGTTTCCTTTTCCTTTCGCAGCACAAGCGCACTGTCAGCCCGCGCGTGTGTGTGTGTGTGCAAATATGCAGTTTTTGGAACAAATCGATACTGGCGAGATCCTGGCTGTGGTCTCTTTGTATCAGGCTTAGCGAACACCACGTGGCTAGGGCTCTTTTAAGGACTTGCCGAAATTATGACTTATGTCTGGTTTAGCGTCGTCTTTGTGTTGTAGGGAAAACCCTTCTGCAAAAGCTTTTATTTCGTGAGAACTTTTCTTTTTATTTTTATTTTTCTTTTTTTTTTGCGGTGGCCTCTGTTCAGCTGCTGGTCAGGCTCTCGACTGAACTGCCGATTTTTATATCCTTTCGTTTATTGAGGGGGGAAATCCCGACCAAAGCCGAGCCGAGGTGGAGGTGAGTTTTTCTCACGAAGCTGGGGGTTAGGAAAGGTTCACTTTTCCTGCTGTTTTCGTCGTTCATTCGGTTTGTTTTGCTAAGCATTTTTCACCGCTTGTTGCCGCTCCACAAGGAGCACACCTCCTACCCATTTTCCCTCGATGAAACAGCTGATGACTGAACCTTTTTCCATGTGATTTTATTGTGCTTTATTAAATCAAAGTAGCTATGAGAAAATCTTCTATCTTTTTTGTTACATTTACTTGAGTTTATATACTGGAAATTTGAAGTAATATCTCTACTCCCCCCCTTCTATATCCCGATTGAGCCCCCTCCGTTTTTCTGTAATGGTCTTGGTTACGTTCAGCGCCAGGCCCAGGAATATAAAGCTTATGACCACCGAGGCAAAGACGGCTGCCGCCAGATTGTTCCACAGCCACATAAGGATTTGGGTGTAAACGGCAATGGCCACCAGAAGCATGCTCATGTAAATGTACACCAAAGCATTGACGAGCTAAAAGGAGGAGCTTGGGAAATTTAAGGATACGAAAGAAAGAGCTCAATTTGGTACCTTCCACACGCCAATGATGAGCAGCAGCGAGACTAGAGAATATAGAGCCGCTGCGGTGGTCCAAGCGATCTTCACCCCCTCCGAAACGCTAGTTGTGCTGATCATGAAAAGGTAGCCAGCAGCGAGTCCTGACAAAAAGGAAAAGCAGGCCATAATGGTGACCACCACATTGCAAGAGGGCACCAGACGCTTGTATCTGAATTCCTGGCCTTCCGACATTTTCACAATTTTATTTAAAAATATAAGCTTTGTTTTTATTTTATTTTTTAACAATTTTACCTTGGCAAGCTTTGTGTCTTTTGTTTTTCTTTTGAATATCGATTGTTAAAGCGGCAACTTGTCGAAATATCGTCGCAGGGCTGGTAAACGCCGCCAAAAGTGTGGGTAAACGTCCAACGAAAAGCTTTAGTTTGCTGGAAAGCGTCCAAAAAAGTAAATACGGAATTCGGCAAAATATTTAGTAGCCGGGTTTTAGAGCATCTCAGAATTTGAGCGAACCTCAAGACTAACCTATCTCCAATGAACTGGTGAAGACCAGACATCGCATAATCCCAGCATGGATCCCGTGGTGTTCTTCGTCGTGTTGTCCTCGTTCTATGGCATTTTGTACTTCTTCGATCGCTTCTTCAAGGTGGGTTTTCTCAGTAAAACCCTTTTTTATACCCTAAATAATATCCGAATTGATAGAGCTGCATGCACTACCCGTACGATGCCTTCCTCAAGAACACCGGGGTGACTGTCAACTTCATGAGCCTTCACTGGCACACGAGCGCCTTTAATCGGACCCTCCTCCGCTGGGGATCGGCGGGGAATGGCTGCACCCGCCGGGTCATGCTCACCAGCTTTAATGCGGGTGTTCTAGTGACCTTCTCGCTGCTGCCCATTGGCCTCATCCTGCTCATTGTGACCATCTTCAGCAGTGGCGAGGCGGATGGCTCAGGTCCAGCGTCGCCTTCCGGTGTCCAGCTGGAAATTCTACTGCCGGGCGTTAACCTACCTCTTGAGGAGATCGGCTACTACATCACCACGTTGGTGCTGTGCTTGGTGGTGCACGAGATGGGCCATGCCCTGGCAGCCGTGATGGAGGATGTGCCAGTCACTGGATTTGGGATAAAGGTAGGGAATACAGAAAGAGTAACAATGATCTTTAATGACCTCTACTTCCCCTTTTTCCAGTTCTTCTTTTGCCTGCCTGTGGCTTACACAGAGCTCTCCAATGACCACTTGAATGGCCTGCGCTGGTTCCGCAAGCTTCGCGTTCTCTGCGCCGGCATCTGGCACAACTTTGTGTTTGCCGGCGTGTGCTACCTGCTCATCTCCACGGTGGGCATCACCATGTCTCCCTTGTATGCCTACAACGAGCATGTGGTGGTCACAGAGCTGACGAGGAAGTCGCCTTTGCGTGGAGAACGAGGCCTCCAAGTGGACGACCAAATAACCCAGGTAAATGGTTGTGCGGTGAAAAGCGAGGAGACCTGGATGGCCTGCATGCAGAATACGCTGAAGCTAAAGCCGGGCTACTGCGTCAGCGCGGACTTTGTGCAGCTCAACGATGAGAGCAGCGCCATTTCGCATCACAGCATCGACGGGCAGCTGCAGTGCTGCGACGAGCTGAACCCGAATGTCAGCTGCTTCGAGGTGGTGGAGGATGCCAATGGTGATGTACCCGTGGAGCTGCCCCAGCACGTCTGCCTGAATGTACGCCGCACCCTGGAGGAGGTGACGGAGCACTGCTCCTCGGGTGTCTGCTCCGAGGGCTTCTGCCTGCGTCCGCTGATGCGGAATATAACTGCCATAATGACGTTCAAGCGTCAGAATTTCAATGGAGAGAAGCTGCCGCCGGTCATCTATGTGGGTCATCCCTGGGATGTCACTCGAACGGTGGGCATCTCGCCCTTTGTGCCACGCCACTCTTTCCTGAAGGCCGCATGGCCGGATGCCTGGCTGCTGCTGCTCAAGTACAATGTGGTGTTCAGCGTGGGCCTGGCCCTGATCAATGCCATTCCCTGCTTCGGCTTCGATGGCGCCCACATCACCAGCACCGTGATACACAGCTTCCTTGTGGGACGGGTGGATCAGCATGCGAAAAGGGACCTCATCTCAGTGATCATCACCAGCGTGGGCACGCTGCTTTTCGGGCTGGCGCTGCTTAAGGTGGCCTGGCTTAGCTTTCTCCGACCGCTGCTTTAGATAGAAGAAAGGATGGGAGTCCAACTCCCTGCTAAGATGCTAGACTGCTATTTCACCTCCAAAAAGAAACACAAAAAACACAGCGAATTGTAGCACCTCAAAGTCAAAGATTAGTCGTTAGTCTTAACTCGTATGTATTTATTTTTTCGTACCGGTTGTCAAGCTCAAAAATAAAATCAAAACTTAAGCTAATATCTGTCGCTTTACTTTCCCTCGTTTACCCCGCTTAGCTGAAGGCTGGTTCGGAGCTCGGTGAGGCTGCGTCTTCCATGCTGGATGAGCATCTTGATGGCCACCTCGTCGCTTTGGTTGCGATTCGTATGGAAGTCATGGCGCGCCCAGGAACGCAGCTCCGCCTGGCTGTTCTTGTCGGGAACCTGGCGAATTGTGCGGAAGATCTCCCGGTAGAGCTTCAGGACTTCCTGGCGCAGCATGAACTAGGGAAAATTATAAATATTTAATATATATTTTATAATTTGTAGGCGACTTATACAATTCATTAAAAGAAACTCTTCCTAAATCCACTTACCTGCTTCAAACTGAGTGCTGCCTTTGGTAATTTTGACATATCAGCTTTCCATATATTATTTTATATATTATTATTTTATAGTAAAATTATTTAAATAATGTGTTTAATGAGAGGTTTCTTTACATTTCCAAAAGATACTCTTGTAATCAATGAAACCAAAACAAAAACAGCTGATTGCCTGCTTTTGAGCTTTTAGTGAGGAGCTTAATTTTCTAGAGATGGCCGTCATAAAGCGATAGATTGATAAGAATCTAAAATCGGTTACTTTTTAAAACAATTTTTTCAAAATATAAATATTAAATGTGTCAAATAATAGATATATTTATAAGCGATAAATTGCTAGGGAAGTAAAATAAGTTACTATTTAAACTATATTTCGAAATAAATAATGGATTTATGAAAAGTATATAATTTTTACTTTTAATGTTGGTTAGGAACTAAATGATATTATTATACCCTTGCAGGGTACTATAATTTCAGTCAGAAGTTTGCAACGCAGTGAAGGAGACGTTTCCGACCCTATAAAGTATATATATTCTTGATCAGCATCAACAGCCGAGTCGATCTAGCCATGTCCGTCTGTCCGTCTGTCCGTCTGTCCGTTTCTACGCAAACTAGTCCCTCAGTTTTAAAGCTATCTGAGTGAAACTTTGCATATAGTCTTCTATATACTCTCACTGCTATATATGTCGGAATGGGCCGGATCGGACGACTATATCATATAGCTGCCATACAAATGTTCGATAAATTTTTGGAAAAAAAATTATAACTTGGCTGTTTTTCAATATTATTCCACCATTTTTGGGATGAAGCCTTTTTTTATTATTCCAGAATTTTGGTAAAAATTTTATGAAAATCTGACCACTATATCTTATAGCTGCCATAGGAACGATCGGGAAATTAATCGAAAAAAATTATAACTTCGTTGTTTTTCAACGTATTTTAATCTACTTTGACACATGAACTTCTGGTATTATTTCAAAATTTTGGTATAAATTTTATGAAAATCGGACGACTATATCTTATAGCTGCCATAGGAACGATAGGGAAAGTAATAGAAAAAATTATAACTTCGTTGTTTTTTAACGTATTTTCATCTACGAGATATGAGCTTTAATTATTATTATAGATATTTGGTATAAATTTTATAAAAATCGGACAACTATATCTTATAGCTGTCATAGAAGCGATCGGTAAATGTATAAAATATATAAAGCTGGGAATGTAAAACTGTAACTGTTAAACTGTAAACATAATAAGTATAGGTAAAATTTAATGAAACTCTGTTTAGTGTCTGTTTTCGGCATTATAATTTATAATATAAATATGAAAACCAATCTGCAAGGGTATACAAACTTCGGCGTGCCGAAGTTAGCTTCCTTTCTTGTTATATATTTAATTTAAGTATTTATTTAATATTTATAGCTTTAAAGCAAAAAAGGTTTATTGTTTATTTCGTTATATTTATAAACACATGTCAGGATATTAAAATCGCAAGCTTCTATATATATTAATTTATATATTTAATATATTAATAGTTCTTATATTTTCTTATTATTTCCTCTGCGATGTACACAAAACACTTGTCGGAATATTAAATTAGAAATTTATAGTAATTTCAAATCAGCATTCGCAAAAATAAATGCACAATTATTTCCCGACGTCACTTTACTACATTGTCTTCGATTCTAAATCTATATTTAACGACCTAGAATATTTTTAAAGAGCTCATTAACTTTGTTGATGAAACCACAATGATTAAAATATTGTAAATAGGTTTTTATTCTGTTCCTTCAAGAGATAATAAATAAATGATCTTAGAATACAGCATTTTGATTTCGGGGAAGTGGATGCCGAAAGTCAACGGCAATTAATGTTTAAATTGCATTTTTCATCAACTGTCACTAATGAGTCAGTTGCACAAATAAAATAAATGAATTGTACCCGAAATGTCTTAACCAAACTCATGTTTCTCTGGGCCGAGAAGCGTGGGCACGAGGGAACCAACGGACTGACATCCAACACTAAATCTTTATCTGGCTCTGGTTCAATTTAAATTAAATTCGTGGGCATTAAATGCTACATTTATCTATATGAGTACATTGTTTGTTTATCCCCCATCCCCCTCTCTCTTGGCTTTGATTGACACGCCAGCTGCTTCTCCTCGCGATCGCCCCTGGTCATTATGAGGTTCCACTTAGGCGACTCAATTGTTTCTCGGCCATTTCGCGATCTCCCAGGTTAGATTTACGTGCAGAAGGGACTGGCACTAACTATTGATAGCTGCTGCTGCTGGGTACTGGGCGTCGGCTAGTGGTAAGTTCTCCCCCCAGCACCGGTTATTATTTTATAGATGTCTATATCTTTGGGCTGCCGCCGATGGCCAACTGTTTTTTGCGAGTGGTAGAGGTGCAAGTGCCAGTGCCAGTGCCTTGGTATCGTCCAGTTACCCATAATTGTGTTGGTCAACAGATGGGCCCTAATAAGTGTGATTCAATTGGGTTAGAAATGAATTAAGTTTAAGGGGGAGGAAGAGGAGGCCCTATGGGAAGATATATAGCATCTTTAAGATAATTTGGCAGCTACTAAAATGTCTGGCAGTGATTTTAAATAAATTAAAAAAAAATAATTCTGCTCAAAACCACTTAAAAAGGTATAAATATAAAATATAAAAACATTTCCGCTTAACATACTTATAAATAAATACCATTTAACCAACTTAAAACTAGGAAAATAAATATTTTTCCTTACAAAAAGCTCCCTTAAAAACTTGTATATATCCGAAAAATATCGCTCTCATATTTAAAAAATTATTGTTCCTGCTTTTACGAAACAAAATATAAAAATGTCGCCGACATAAGCCATTTAATAGGATACGATAATCAATTTGGAATACATATTTTCCCCCTATTTTCAATATATATAAATATATACACACAGAAAGCGACCTTTCTGGCTGTCAGAATGCATTTTCTCTTCGCATTACTTAAGTTGCCCCCCATTAATTACGCCGAGCAGTCTCTGTGATCTCGGCCCAAGTGCGTTTGTCTCCGCCGGCACAAGTATTTTGTGCAAATTAAAACAAAAATTGGACATAACATAAATATTAAGGAGGCAGAGGGAGGCAACACAAAGCGAAGGCAGGTGAAGCGGATTTATTTATTTTTAACTGGCCAATGCTTGTACTTTTTATTAAATTTTCTCTCAAATTATGCAAAAGAACCGAGCGCTCGTTGCATTCGAATGCAATTTCGATTTCGTTTTCATCTGCCAGAGAAGATGCCAGCGCCTGCGCCACTCTCTTGAGTCATTGCACTGGGAGAAAAATGGGGAATATTTTGAATAAATAATATAATAAAAATTTTAAAGCTATATATCACTTCAACTGTTTGTATTTAAATCCCTGCAGGCCCTAAAATCGTTTAGTACTTAAATTTGAGTAAAAGAGAAGATAACTTTATATAGAAAGAAAATTTTAGAGATGTATTGAAGTTTTATATACTCTTTCAGGGTATCATAGCTTCAGTCAGAAGCTGATAACGTAGTGAAGGAGTCATTACCCAGCCTATAAATCATATATATTATTGACCAGCATAATCAGGCGAATCTAATTAGCTATATTCTGAAGAAAATTTTCAAATTTAATTTTCTTTTAATTTTTAAAAATTTGATAAGGGGTTACATCGTTAATTTTAAAATAATCAAGAAGTTTTTTAATATAAAAAATCAGATTTTATAATACAAAATAATATTTTTCTAAGTCAAGGAATCATTTCCGACCCCATAAACCATATATATTCTTGATCAGCATTAACATGCGAATCTTTCTAAACATGTCCGGAAGAAATCGATTTTTTGGCCATTTTTCAAAATTTTATAAGGGGTTACATCATTAAAATTTTTGATTTTGATAAAAAATTGAATTTTCCAAATTTTTAAATGAAGTATACAGATTTATTAACTGTAGAAAATCTTGCACAGAACAGTTTTCCGATTTAAAATTAATGCTCTTTTGGCCGAGTTATAATATTTTTAATTTAAAAAAAAATCAATAAGTTTTTTAATATAAAAAATCAGTTATTATAATACAAAATAATATTTTTCTAAGTCAAGGAATCATTTCCGACCCTATAAACCATATATATTCTTGATCAGCATCAACAGGGGAATCTTTCTAGATATGTCAGGAAGAAATCGATTTTTTGGCCATTTTTGCGAAATTTGATAAGGGGTTACATCATTAAAATCTTCAAAAATGACCAAAAATTTTGATTTCTTAAAATTTAAAATTTGGTATGCAGTTTTTTTAAATTAATAAAAACTAACACAAAACTGCTTTCCGAATCGAAATTAATGCATTGTTGGCTTAGTTATGATACATTTCAGATTTGACCTTTGATCCAATTGTAACCTGTAAAAGGGTATTCAAAATTCGGCTTCCTGGCCAGTCAGCCATGATACAATTATAATTTAAGTTAAATAATTGTATCATAAATTCAGCATGGAAAAGTCATTGATTTTTGTGACTTTTCTAATTAACATTTCCAAAAACCCCTCTCTTTACACTCCATTTTTCTCTGAGTGGGCAATGTCTGCGGCGCTTTAGAGGGGGTGGTGGCACTACGTCATCGACATCAGACCCACAGCTGCGCCACAACGATGACGACGACCGAAGGCAACACAGCACAGCAGCACCAGCACCAGCAGCAGCAGAGCATAGAGCACCGAAGCAGGCAGCCAGCAAGCAGAAAAGCGAGTAAAATCCACATGCCAGCGGACTTGGGCCTCAAATGTTCATGAAACGCGAACGCGTGTGGACGTCGTTTTCCGTTTTCCGTTGCCTTCGCTCAGCGCCGGCGAGTGTTTTGAAAAATATCTGTGAATTCGAACCGGGATTTATTTCGAACCTGTGCTGTGTGTGCGGTGCATAGATGTGCATGTGTGAAAGTGAAAACGAAATGAAATAAAGAATGAAAATGAGCACGGTGCATGAGTTTTCCTGAAAATCCATCCAAAGAAAATACAGCAGCAGCAAGAAAATCGAGGCTGAAAGAGCGTGCAAAAGCAGAAAGGCTAATATTGTGAGTGAGAGGAACACACACACACACACACACACACACACATGTAAAAAAATATACCTATAATGTTGAAAATATCTGGCTATTTTTGGATAATATATATTTGTTTTCCCACACGTTGCATTGGAAAATTTTGTACCTCACACGAGAAAAGCCTCGAGAAATGATAATGCTAAAATTTCATATGCAGTTCGTTTTCGAAATGGAAATTGAAATGTTTTTCGAAATTTTGTATTTAAAAAAATAAATGAAAACAAAACAAAGGCGTAATGAAATAAGAAAGTGTATACAACGAAGCGAAGCCAAGGCAAAAGAACAAGCCAAGTGAAATGTTTTTAATGGGCAATCAGAGATGATGATGAAGATCGGTTCGGACTGTAGATATATGGCCCAAAAGATATGGAACGAGGAATGAACGCATTAAATGTGAACAATGGCGCTACTTAAAATGAACTTGAATGGTTTTTGTGATGACTAAGAGGTTCTAGATATGGAAAATAAGAGAGTTTTTATAAAGTATCTGATAGATACTTTGAAATCTTTACTTTTTTACAAAGTACTTGTATCTTTTCGATTTCTTCTGAAACAACTTTGTAGGTATATAGGTATTTAGCTATCTGAATTCGAATTTGTTCTGGCGTTATGCGATATGTTAGCTGTTAGTGGTAGGCTCTCGGGGCGGCGGGGGTATTGAATTACAAGACACCAAAGTGCGCGCCAAGCGAACTGAACACGCTCGCTGCCAGCGAAGATACTCAGGCGAGGCCCGAGGTGTATAAATATATCGCGTCTGCCGTCCGCCTCCTCTTCATCCTCCTCCTCGCATGCGTATCCGCTTATCCGCGTATCCAATGGATGCGAAACAGCCAGCAAAGCAAAGAATCGGAAAACAGAGAACCAGAATAAAAAAAAATTATACTAAATCGTACAAGGTATCGAAAATCGTGATCCACTGTAATTAATTATTTGGTGGAAGCCACCGAAAATCCAGTGATTGATGCAGCCAAAGTTCAGTTTGTTTACAGTTGCAAGATCAATGACTTGGTTAGCTATATATAGAAAAAACTAGCAGGGGCGGTACTTGGAAATGTATTTGATGGATATAATGAGAGAGTAATGATATAGGGGATAAGGAAGTGATATAAAAAATAGTTCTACATTTTTTTGTAATTTCTTTTTTTAGGGTTTTCTCGTTATTGGAAAACTTAAAAAATTAATAAAATTAATTACAGAGCTCCTTACGGTTAAAATCTTTATCATTTAAATTCCCAGAACGTTCTTAAAATTTGTTGGAATATTTTGTGTACTCCTTTGTTAATTATTTTGCTTATTAAAATACATTTAATGCAGCCTTAAGTTAATTTAAAAAGTTAAGAAATCCCTTATATAAGTTTACACCTTCTATATTTCTAAAATAATCTCAATCTCAAAACCTTCAGTTTTAATTACTTTAAAAACATTTTCCTAAACACTTTCGTAACTATTATCTTCCCTTTTGTTTTACAGCTTTTCCCACCCAAAATAAGGAAATACAAACCCCCCAGAAAACCAGCCAAAATGTCCGCCAAGACATCCCCCTCCAGCTCGCGAGATGCCAACATGGGAGCCTCCAGTGTGGTGCCCGCCTCCGTGCAGATCAAAAAGGAACTGCCCAGCGATGAGATAAAAGTGAGTCCGATTTTCTTGTGAATGAACACACTCAAACACATGAGGTTTTATAATTAATTACCCCCTGTCTGCATATTATTTCGCCGAGTATTCAATAACAAGGATGCAAACAAAGTATAAAGTATTATAAATAAGCAAGATATTTGCTCATTTTTGCTGCTGCGAAATTGCTTATAAGTATATGCTGAGTTATTATTATTTGTTTGCTTGTTTAGAAAATGAGGAGGAAAAGGTGAATAACACCCACTTGGAAAATGTAGAAAAATAATGAAAAATATATATTTCTAGAGTGAGGTAAAATATAAGAAATAAAATCAAGGAAACCTCAAGTAGCACTTAATGTGCCCAGCAAATTATCACTTTCACTTATTACCCGTTGAGCCTTTATCCTGGTAATGCAAACTATAACTGTCTTATTCGGTTTCGTCTTTAACGAACCCCTTTGGAAATATGTACATATTTCAGGAACCGCATGTTGCACATAATTAGTTTCCATTTACAAGCCCAAACCGAGCATTTCCAACTAAGCATTGAAATCAAAGAATCGGATTCGAAATGTCTGCAAACGAAAATGGTTTCATTTTGCAGTTCTGCAGCTTTGCCGCTTTGCAGTTTTGTTTGGAAAATGTTTATGCAACAACTACTCCCTCCCTCGCCCCCGCAAACTGCTGGATAAAATTCCGGGCAACTTTGTTTCCCCGGGTCCGGAATTCGTGAGGGGAGCCTCCCATGCTGAGGAGATTCCGATGCCAATGCCGATTCCGATTCGAATTCGGTTTGTAAGTGAGTGGAGCGAGCTGCAACTTGCTGGTAATTTTATATTGATAAATTTTTATAATCATTTTAACGAGTGAGCGACTCCGATTCGCTGCTCTCCTTCCCCGGATCCGCCAAATGAGCAAAAATTAATTTAATGCCACCAAAGGAGGGATGTCGGCATGCAGATAAATTGTCCACAGCAACATTTTTGCAGCACGTGTAACCCGATCGGGGAATTGAAATTATAGCCGTTGACTTGCAGTTGAGCGCAATGATACTTATTGTCGGTGGTGGAAAACAAAAACAAAAACAAAGGCAACTGCGAAAACCAAAAATTATTATAATGAATGAGAGCTGTTTGGGGTGGAAGGGGGAGGTGGAGGGACAAGGGGTCTTGGGAACAGAGAGTATCCGCTGAGGTTGTCGACTGGTTTTCTAGCTAAACGTGGGATTATATATGAATATCTGTACACGGTTATTTATGTCTGTCGTGAGCTATTTGTAATGTGATTGCAAGTTTGTAATGCGAGGGCAGTGGTTTTCTATTTAAAAAAAGGTTATGCATATAATGTTAAATTGATAATAATTAAATATATAAAATTTGAGTAAAATTGGTTAATAAACAAGGAAGTTGTTAAGGAGTTGATGTGGTATAGATGTACCAGGACTTGAGCAGCAACAACATTAAGTTCAACAAATTTCTAGAAACATTTGCTTAGAAACATTCACTGCTCAAACTACTTTTTGCCATGTTAATATTATTGTTTTTTTTTCATATAAAGCTTTCTTATTTTTATTTTAGTAAAATAATAATTAATTTAAAAATATTTTCAGCATTAAACATTCCTTGTTCGTTGCTTAGTATATTATTCCTAACTTTTCTATTTCTTTCTCAACCTTCTTCCCCTTTCTGCACTCTTTCATTCAGACTCTTCATAAAGCCCAACCTCCTTTGAGTATGCAACACTTTGCCGACTAAAAATATCAATTAAAAACATTGTAATTCATACCTTCATTTTTCGCTTACGCTTACCTCACCCAGTTTCGGGTCCGTTTTCAGTTTATACAAGTATATATGTATTTTTTTGTGTGGCCATAATTACAAGCTGCATTTGCTGCAGAGTCGAGGAGCAGGCACCCAAAAGACAGGACAAATTTTTATATTTAATGGCCTCGAAAGGCAAGCCGAAAACACACAGCGTAATTAAACAACAACAATAAAGGCAAGGAGAAGGGGAACGGGAACAGGAGCTGTCTCCATGGGTGCAATATGATAGGACTGTGGTAAGGCGATATCCTTCAAGGTTTTCCGCTTTGCAACGACCGATGTCAAGCCAAAAGCTGAGGCTGGGCCCAGGACCCATATACAACGCGAAGTATGTCTCTGAGGCACACACTACACTACATTGTGGGCATTATCCTGGGAAAAATAGCTGGAAAGGGAGCAAGAAGGGAAGCGAAGGGAGCGTTAAGGGAGCTAGTAAGGGATCTGCCAGGGAGCTGGAAGAGGTGAACCAGTATGCGGAAGGCCATATCATCAATAACTGAAATCAATAACTCTGTGTGTAGGCGGTGTGTGAAGAACAAAATGGTAAACAATGCCTTGTAGTGGGTTATTGAGGTGTTTTTAATAGGAATTGTAATAAATATTTTTATAAAGAAAAAAATATAAAATAAAAAGGATTTATTATATATTTTAAAAACATATTTTTAATATTTTAAAAGAGTAAAACAAGGGGTTTTATAAAATAATTTAAAAAAATAGATAATATAGGTGTTGCGATATAACTTTATATTTGTATAGCATACTCTTTTCTGTATTAGTTAAAAAAAAAGGAAGCCAACGTCGGAAAGCCGAAGTTCGTATACCCTTTGCAGTAAGCAATTGGTTGATGGGATCGAAAATCGATAACTAAGCCAAAAAAGCCTTAATTCCATTTCAGAAAACTGTTCTGTGTTAGTTTTTCCCAGATAGACAAATCTGCATACTTAATTTTACATTTTAAGAAAATAAATTTTTTCGCAATTTTCAAAAAAAATCATGATGACCCCTTATCAAATTTTGAAAAAATTTAAAAAAATAAATTTTTTTTTGAAATAGCTAGAAAGATTTGTATGTTTATGCTGATCAATAATATATATGATTTATAGGTTCGGAAATGATTCCTTTTTCTTCTGCGTTACAAAATTCTGATTAAAATCATAATACCCTACAAGGGTATTCATATATTTCCCAAGTAGATTTTTATAATATTATTAAAAGCATAAAGTTAACGTCGTTCTTAAACAAAATTAGCCAAACATATTAATATATTTTATATATATTTTTGTATATGATAACTAACTTTGCTTTTAGAGTATCTTATATGAAATCCAACACATACTAATTAAAGTCTTTCAAAATCAAATCCAAGTTTTATATATCCCCTAATTTATCAACTTAAATAATTTCCAATTAAATGCATTTCTAAGCCATGCTTATTACACCTTCTGGGCCAACCCCTTGGCCATTGATGCAGAGTCACCTAATATTCAACGCGCCAGCGGTCTTAAGTGATGGCAGACTCTAACGAACATGGCCAGGGTTCCGAGCATTCCGTATTGGATTACACTCACACACTCGGTTGGCCATATATATATATTTATATATATACAAACAAACATAGATCGGGGGAGACTGCGAGGGGCCAGATGACACAATGACAGCGTTAGTCCGCCAGGCAGCCACTCAGGGCCACAGAGGGGGCCCCTAGCTCTGGTTGTGTGGGGGCTCTGAAAGTTGGGATAGGGGTTAGGGTGCCAGAGCTTAGCTCAAATGTCGCCGCAGCAGCAGAACTTTAATAACAGCGCCGACGATTGGGTTACAAACAAAATAGAATATGATAAATTCTACACAAAACACCAGAGAATCCCCGAGAGAGATAGAGAGAGGGATGGCCTGTGTAGTGCACAACAAGGAGTCAAGGTAACATGAGGCACCCTGTGTGCCAGCAGGTGGCACATCCACATCCTCCCACTCCATCCCAGAGGTTCAACAGCATGCAACGTGCCACCAGGAGCTCAAATTAAAATAGCGTTAAATTAATTCGAGCCACTGCTGATGGCCCAGCATTACGAAAGCGAACCCGAGAGTGGCCAAAAGGCTATGTGGAGGAGGTTGGCCAGGAGGAGGGATGGGTGGATGCATGGATGGATGGCCAGGGGGATGAACCTGCTCCCTTGGCACTGGCAGCAGGTGAAGTGATATATATTCAAAAGGGGAAACAAAGATCAGATTCCGGGTTTTTATTAGGATTTTTAGCAGATATTTATTTTAATTTATTTATTTAAATTAATTTTTATGTATATTTTAAAGAAAGGGGTTAAATCTAAAGCTTACAAATCTCTCGAAAACTTAATGTAAAATATATAAAATATAAAAAAAATAACTAGAATATGCCACCCAACTTACCCCTAGTGTTTCCCCCTCTTAAAAGTCTTCTCTGCACTCCTATATCTCTGTCTGAACAATGTGCCAGCCATATCCGATGTACATTAGAATGAAATAGAATATTTCGTGAACGAAAGAGAGAGAGACAGAGCCCCCAAAGGCCAAGTATGTCATGTAAGAATTCAAAAGAAGGACGCTCGTCATTCAATCCTGAGCTATCGATATTCGATTACAGCAAACTAAAAACCGACTGACTTTGTGCTCTCGACACACTCGCACACTCAAACACCCATATGTATGTCTGAGAAAACTAGCGTAATTCTAGAATTTGTTGCCATACACTCACACAAACATTATATATATAAAGTATATAGTATTTCCCTTTTTGGGGTGGCGCTGGGGGGACTTGGAAGTGGAACCAGGGATTGGGTTCGGTCCGGACACCAGCACTGGGTGCTCCGTTGCAGCTCGGCTTTAGTTCGCCTTAGTCTCAGCTCGGTTTACTGGGTTCAGGGTGAGTTATTATAAGCGTATTGGGTGTCCGTTGCCTGTCCACCCCGTCCCAGTCTGGGCCTGGGTCTGGGTATCCGCATCTCTCGGTTGTTCTGGCACTGCCAGCGTCGTGTACTTTACATTATTCTATTAGGTTTCCTCGCCGGTAACCGTAGACGCGTATTAATGCCCGTCCCACTTGGAAAACAAGGGGGAGGAGCCCTGGTTGGTTCTGGCTGCACTGCAGCGCGGGATAAGCTTCCTTGGATTGGCTTAGGAAGTAGGGTAGGACAAGGAAATCAATTTGAATCGATAGTTAATAATATTCAGAATCAGTCAGGGATATTTTTTATTTAGGGATGACATCATTGTTATATTTTTATAATACATAGCAATTCTTCTTAGTTGATATTCTTTTTTAAGCAATTCTTTTTAGTCTTTCTTATTTCTTAAACAACTCTTTAGCTTTAAATCCCCCATTTTTCGCAGTGTTTCCCCAAAGCCAGACAAAGAAAGAACCTTCTTCCCCCAAGTTCTCAGTTCACTCGTCAAGTCGCTTCATTACGATTCATAATAAAACCGAAAATCTGATATGTTTTTGTAAGTTGAGAATTCGCAAAATGAAAATATATATAAAGAAAAAACCTGAACAGTCAGAAACAAGTATATGGCATACATATGTATCCGTTGGATTCTTGGGCAATAATTACGGAAAAAAGCGAAATGAAAAGTCTCCATACAGATCGTCGACGTAGACGGCGGCGGCGGGGAAAAAGGAAATTCGAATTGGAAATGTAAACTTATACCCGTGTGTTTGTATATTTCTTAATACACACTTCTAGATATACAAACAAACATATATATACCACCAAATGCGAAGAGAGAGAATCAGATCCCAGATCCCAACTCCATCAGCAGCAGCAGCAACAACAACAACAGGCAGGCGGCATACAATTTCAGTTTTTAATTAATTGATTTTTATTCGCATTTCGGTGTTGAATTTCAACCATGGGCGCGAGTTTGAATGTCTCAGAATACACTGGGGAAAATATTTATTATTACGAAATAAATTCATAAATTTCTGATACTTGATTTCAATATTCTAGTTTTATTTTTTGATTTTTTTAAAACATAATATTGTTCTATAAGGTGTATATATTATTTTTTTAAATATATACATTATACTTTAAAAGTAGTAAATTCAAAAAATTTAATTTCAACAACCCCATAGTTTTTCTAGGACTAATATTTATGGCATAATTAATCATTTTATTAATACATTATTATACTAATATAATTAATACATTTTTATCTCAGTGAATGACCCCACTTCACCGCCCCCTTTTCGGCATCCTCTTCGCCACCCCTCGGCCAACCCGTTGAGCCAGTGTCAGGCAGCAGAAAACTGAAAAACTGAACGAACGCACAAATCAGAAATTAAAAACCGAACATAAATTAACAGACAAATGATACTAAAAAAAAAGAAAAGAAACCGAGCTGCCGAAAGAGACGGCGCATGGGATAATGAGAGAGACGGAGTGAGAGCGGTAACGAGCGTTCGAGGCGTTCCTCCGGTTACTGCAAAATACTGAACTTGAGACGAGCGTGCGTCGCCGAGCTGCCTCTTGGCCTCCTCCTGTCTCAGCCCCCACCCCTTTCGGCTCACCTCACCTCAGCTTACCTGGACGAGGTCGCACCTGAGGCGTGTAATTGATACGCTGAGGCAGCCGGGTCCGTAGATTTTATCGCGCGAATTTTTAATACTCTTTTCGCAGCGACAGACAACTGAAAACCTGAATGCGATTGTCACCGATACGCGACTTGAGAAAATAAACCAAGCGAGCGTGTGAGCGTTGATTGTGCACTTGGGAAAAAAATATATAACAATTTTATTAAATAATAATAAATTTGCTGGAAAATCCAACATTTTTGGCAGGGTTTTAAATGAGTTATCGTTTATATAAGGTTTTAAAACAAGCTGAGAAAAGAGAATAAATAAAGGGAGTTAAACTTAAGCTGCAGAAATAATTTTTAATTTGAACTAAGCTTAAAATTCAACCTGAAATATTTTAAAATAATTTTTTTTTAACTGATTTTAGATCCCAAGATATTTCTGTTTCACGAACCTTTTATAAAATTTTATTCAGCAATATTTTTGTATACCAGATATTCCAAGTGCACAAAAAATAGTTCCTCTAAAAAAATATATATGTATAAGAAAGAGAGGGACTAAGACTATGACAGAGACAGCGAGTGATTAGGCGACTTGCATTTGTCAGCAAGTTGGCAGCACCGCTTAATTTGCCAACAGTATCGGATATCGTCGGGGATATATCCAGTTTGTCTAGTGCCAGTGATAGATGCAATATGACTGCCTGGCGATGATTCATCTGGCCACCGTTGTCGGTTGGGTAATTGTGGAGCGATCCGATTTGTGGCCACTGCTGCTTCCCTTGAATCTTTGAATCGGACACCCAACAACGCCAGCAAACCGAATTTGTCAAGCAAGTGCCGGCCACATGGCGTATGAGTAATGGGGCATTCCGCAGAAGGCAGCTATGAGGGAATATTTAAGTGGGAAGATTTTGGGGGGTAAATTAAAGGGGTATTCTTTTATTTAAATATTTATTAAGTAATAAAGAAACTTCTTATATTATTAAGAGGGTTTTATATTTAATATATCTTATATTAAAATACTGCCAAAAACAAGTCAGACCGCTTAACGTTTTGTATTGATTCGAAAAATTCTTTAAGCATTTACTTCGAAAACTTCTTCCACAATATTTAAGCCTCAAAATATATCTAAACTTCCTTGAACTCAACCCCTTTAACCTCCGCCACTGCCTTCCAAGACTTGCAGCAGCAAAAACAGAGAAGAATTCAAGTATTTCAATGTAACCTGATACCCCGTTTTTGTGCCAGCCCCTCCTATGCCTTGTGTGAAATTTTTGTGTGCAACGCCAGGCAGGCCCAGAATGATACATATGTATATAGATATATATCTCCCTTGCTAAGGGAATGCCAAAAACTTCAAAAGCCACAAAACTCTTTGCTGCATCTTGGACTCTGACTTCGACTTGAATTTAAAAGTCAAAAAAGCAAAAAGGCAAAGCGAAACACTCGAAGAAGTATTGGATATCATCCAGTGTTGATTTAGTGGGAAAGAAACTTGCTGCTTTGGCCAAAGGAAATATGCAAATGCCACCCACTCCGACTACGACTCCCGAGTTGTCCGGCCGTAATGAAGCGCTCCTGCACCACCACCTGCTCTCCTCCGACTGCCAAACACACAGGAATAGTGATATGTCTGTCGAAAAAGCCAGGTGTGTTGGAGTGTGTGCGGTGTGTTTTGGCTTTCATCATCACAGAGCTATCGATTACACTGCAACTCCTTTCCTCCGGGGGCAGGGACTTTTGATACGGTTAGATAAGGACTTGCATAATTGCTCACCTTGGTTGAGGGGTCAAGGGATAATTAGTAAAAGTTGCAGTTAAATTATCCCTAAAATGGACTCATCCCTGCATTCTGGTTGCCTTGCAGTAAGTGGTGGCTAAAAACCAGTAGTTGGCCACAATTTTATGGCCCAATAAAGGCACCTGTCTTGTGATGTACTATCCTGGCCTGGCTGTGGATCTCACCAAGTTTCAGCTGTCAAGTGAGGGAAAGACACTTGAAAAGTAAAGGGGAGAGTTATAAAATTGAAGACTCTTTGATAATCCTGCTTTATATAAACATTTTCTAGAGATTTTCTAGATTATATTGCTTAAAATAAATTTTTTTTAGAGATTTAGAGATCTAAACTATCCTGCTTTCAAATAATAATTTGCTAGAGTGTCTTAAGCTACTGATTCGATCTCCGAGGATATCGAATGAACCTTGGGCGGGGAATTGTTGTCATGCAAACCCCTCGAACTGTGTCAGCATATACATATACATATATGTAAACACATATATTCTCCAGTACTCATCTTTCTTTTTTTCCCCCTTTGGTTCCAGGAATTCGCTCACAACACCATGAACGAGCTGCTTGGCTGGTATGGATTCGAGGGTGTGGACGTGGACAGACTGGATCTGACCGCCAAGACATCCCGTCTTCTGCAAAGTGCAGCCGCAGCAGCGGTGGCCAACCAGCAGCAGCAACATCATCACCAACAACAGCTCCAGCACGAGCAGCAGCAGCATCTGGAGAGGAAGCGCAGCAGTCTCTTTCGCAGCAGTCGGAGTGCTCTGGCGGCGGCCTATCTCAACAATAACAACAGCAATAGCAGTAGCAACAAGAATAATGGAGCAGGAGGAGCATCCAGTGGAGCAGGAACAGGAGCGGGAGCGGGAGCAGGAGGAGGAGTATCTGGAAATGGCAGAAAGGGAGGCCTGCAGAATTGCAGCAGCACCACAACGACGCCCTCGGATCATGATACGCGTAGCTCACGAGAGGAGGACTCCAAGAGTCCACTCTCCATAGGGAAAACCGCGGGTGTGCCGCATACGGAGGAGAAAATAGGTAGGTATGCCACTCCAGAGGCTGTGATTTAGACATAAGTGAAGGAAACTAAGCTTTAAAATCGAAAACAGAAATATATAATTTGGTTTTCGGGTTTATTAAAGTTTTTAAATAAATATTGCTAATTCAAAATAATTATTTTGAGAAGGAAAATTATGTACAGGGTATCAAAACATATCAATTAAAGCTCAACTCCAATCAAAAGTGGACAGCAAAAGTCAAAATCCAAAATTCCCAACTAAAAAAACAAAAGAACAACAAGGAATCACTAGCAAACCCCTTGATCCCCCTCATCCCCTGAAAGCATCCGCTTGTTTTCGAGTGTTTTGCCTTTTGTGAGAAAGGCAACTCGATAAGCTCGACTTTCTGCTCCTGTACCCCCGTCCCTCCCTCATCCTCTCCAGCCACGGCAATCATTACGTGCATTTGTAGCCACACAGGCAGGTTGAAAACTTTGCTAACTTTCCCTCAAAACTCCGGCCGCAGTTTCCCGATGCCTCCTGCATTATCGAATATCAGGATTCATTAAGACCCAAAATATGGTTTACAGAATTCTGGCAGCCAAAATGTGTTGGCCATGGCTGTTGGAGGAGGAGGAGGAATGGCTGGGGCCATATTAGGAATTGGATATCCCAAAGCTCAATTTGTATGGCAGCTGGGGAAAAATCAAATTGTGTTGCTCTTCGGCAGGGCATTGATTTTCATTTTTGGATCTTGTGTTTTCTCGGGGAATTAAATAGATATTGGAAATTTACTAACAGAAGATTTATAACACTAAACTTTATAAATAAGAGAAGAACTTGTTGACTAAAATTCCATTATTTATGTGATTATTTTGGGAAACTTAAGGCTTAGAAATATCATAACTAAGTCAAAAAAGCATTAAATTCAGTTTGGAAAGCTGTTCTGTGCTAGTTTTTTCTAGATAAAGAAATCTGCGTACTTAATTTTAAATTTTAAGAAATTCGATTTTTTCGTCAATTTTGAAAAAAATAATGATGTAACCCCTTATAAAATTTTTAAAAAATGGAAAAAAAAAAATGTTTTCTTCCGGACATGACTAGAAAGATTTGCCTGCTAATGCTGATTAAGAATATATATGGTTTATAGGGTCTCAAATGATTCCTTCACAAAATAAAACAATTTTACCCTTTCAAGAAGACCGGAAATATTTAATTTCTTTTAATTTAATAAATATAATTTTCTTGTTTACTAAAAATATCCACTTCCCTCTCTTTCCCAGACTTCAGCAACTGCTGCTGGTGCCATCGTCCCATCGCCGAGAATGCACCGGATTACCTGACCAGCAGCGACGGACCCCGCTACTGCTCCGAATCCTGCTTCGCCCAGAGCCGGCGGGCATCCTTCAAGAAGGCCAAGACCTGCGACTGGTGCAAGCACGTCCGCCATGCCGTGAGCTATGTGGACTTCCAGGACGGCGCCTCCCAGCTGCAGTTTTGCTCGGAGAAGTGTCTCAACCAGTACAAGATGCAGATTTTCTGTCAGGAAACGCAGACGCACCTGGACCTGCATCCGCATCTGCGCGACCAGGTCCTGGATCCCGGCAGCGAGGCTGGCCTGATAACGCCAGATCTGTGGCTGCGCAACTGCCGCAGCCGCTCGGCCTCGCCCGCCTCCACGTTGTCGGTGTCGCCGGGTCCGCCACCGGCGGCTCCTTTCAATCGAGGTCCGGACTCTTCGCCGCCGCCTAGTCATCATGCCAGCAAACCCCTGATCTCAGTGGCGCCAGTCTCGAAATTGCTGGCCCAGAAAAGTCCTGTGCCGGCCGTGGCTCCTCCGCCGCCGCCGCCACCGCTCCAGCGACAGTTGGGCTCCAAGTTGGGACGGAGAAAGCGTCAGCATCGCGGTCTTTCCTCGTCGTCCGGTTCGGAAACGGTGGCCAGTTTGCTGCAGAAACAGCAGCAGCAGCAGGCACAGCAACAGGCTCCTCCAACCTTAACCGCTGACTTTGCCGGCTCCAGTGTTCCCCTGCCTCCCATCTCGCCTATGCCAAATATGCAGGAATCCCCACAGCAGCATCAACAACAGCAGGCACCTCCAGCGGTGCCACCTGCCCAAGCTCTGCCCCGTGGACCGACCGCCATACCGGCCAGCTATTTTGCCACGCCCTCGAATGGAGTGCCCATGGGTGGGCATCCCTTTGTGGGTCGTCCGCCACCGCCGCCGCATCATTTCCTGCCACCACCGCCGCATGGCATGATGCCCAGGGGATTTGCCCCCCACTTTGGGCCACCACTTCCTCCGCAGATGCCAGAATTGAGCGCCCTGCTAGGAGCTGTGCCACCAGTGACGGTGATGGTGCCGTATCCCATCATCATACCTCTGCCCATACCCATACCCGTGCCTCTGCCCATCGTGGACTTTTACAAGGCCCACCTGACGCCGGAGCAAAGGAAGCGTTTCGACGAGGAGAGGGCAACGTCGACTAGGAGAGATGGGGAGGCAAACCCAGGCGAACCAGAGCAACCACAGCCGCTGGACTGCAGCAGCAAGGCAAAGAGCGAGCAGGAACTGGAGCTGGAGAAGCAGAAAGAGGAGGCCCCGCCGGAGCCCCAAGAAGACAAGCCATCAGACAAGGAGCAGAACGAGGAGGAGAAGGAATCCATACCAAAGACAAATCCAGATATAGACACCACGCCCGCATCGCCGTCTTCCGTCTCGCCCGAGTCGTCGTCCTCCTCGCTGGAAACGCACTGCATCGTGCGGGACTCGCCACTCACCGATCCCGAGGCTGACAGCCAGAAGCTGCCCAAGCTGAAGATAACGCGGCTGCAGACGAAGCGAACCCTAATTCAAACCAAAGAGGCGGCCGCCGAGTGCAGTCGACCGCTGCGCAAGCGCAAGAGGATCATTGACTGTGACTTCCAGAAGATGGCCGTCAAAGAGCTGGAGGCCAGCGAGGCGACAGAGACGGATGCCGAGTGCAATATGACTAACAATGGCAATGCAAAAGCTAAAAAGTAGACTTAGAACCCTAGGCTATATCCTTATTTAGTTGTAGAAACTATTTATGAAGAGGAGGAAGAGGAGAACAGAGAGAAAAGGAGGAGGAGAAGGAGTAGGCACAAAGTGCAGGGCGGTAATCTCTGAATTAAATTGAAATAAAATAAAATATATAACTTATGAGAGGGCAAAGAGTTTCTTTTAGGGAGGGGGCCTGTAAATCTATCAAGAAATTGATTCAGCAAAGGTTCCTCGTTATTCAATGAATAATAAACACTTTATATTTCAAAAAGAAAATCCTTTTTCCAAGGAAAAATCATTCATAAAATTTCAACCAAATTCAGTAACGATTTTCTTAAAAAGAAGCTGCAGTCCAGGGCTCTTCAAGGGAAAGTTCTACTTAAAGGTAAAGCTATGTTTACAAAGGATATCCAAACCTCGATTGGCTCAGTTGTAGAGGTCCCACAGCGATATCTGGCTGTCCATGCCCGCTGCCGCCATGATGGGTGCCCGCCACATGGCCACCGCTTGGCTGGAATAGGCCAGATCCATCACACCGCCCTGCTTGTGCTGCGTGAGCACGGCCAGCGGTCGAAGGCTTTTCCACGAAAAAATCCTTATGCGTCCGTCCCAGCCGCCGCTGGCAAAGACCTTTTGATCCGCACGAATGCGGACACAATTCACTCCAGGATTCTTGATGCACAGCTCCGAGCCGCGCTGCAGCTGCATGGCGGGTCGCTGGTAGCTAAAGGTAATTAGTTTCTCAGCTGGAAGGGAAGAGGATTAGGTTAATCCACAAATTAAATCAGCAAATAGATACTCACAGGCTCCTCCTACAATGCCCCTATTGGTCACTGGATCATAATCCACAGTCATGGCATCCGTAGCCAGTTCCAGCACATCCAGAATCACACCAGAGGTTAGGTCCCAGGTCAGAAAGTGTCCCGATTCGTAGCCCGCCAGCAGGAAAAGCTGCGAGGCGCACTCAAATGGCTTGAAGCAGGTGACGCTTCCCAGCTTGGGCAGCTGTCCATCCTCCGGCACTAGCATCTGAGTGGGAGCCGAGGCATCCGTCACATGTAGTACCCCTATAGACGACTCCTCGCAGGGATAGAAGAGCAGCTGCTCGCTGGTGTTGCTGGTGCTCGTGTGGAGGGCAGAGCGGCAATAGCCCAGATGGTTGCCTGGGATACTCCGCTCTTTTACATAGCTGCTGCCGCCAATGGAGAACATGGTGATGGTGCCGCCCTTCTCCTGCGTCACCAGGCGGTCAGGTGTGTGATGCAGGCTGGTTATGGGATCGGAGCCCACCTCGAAGTGCAGGGCAGAGCGATTGGTCTGGAAGGGGAGGGGTGTTTTACTAAATCATGGCAATTTATTCCACCAGCGTGGCTTTAATAAAACTATTACCTGTAGATCCCATAGAAACACGCTGCCTTTCAGGGTTCCTGCCAACAAACGATCGTTATCCTGAAAGCACAGCGAGTTTACGGCGCCCATGTCCGGGGAACGCAGGCTGAACACGGGATCCGGTGGTAGCACAGCCATATTTTCGGTTATTTCTAATTAAATTAAATAATAACAAGTTTTGTTTTGGTTGCGTTTTGTCAGTGTGGCCATTCCTAAAATCAGTGTGGCCAGATGAAAATTTGCCTCTCAATCTAAAAAATCCAGTTCAATGTAAACTACACAGTGGCGCCCTCTGGCACTTGGCGCGTGTTTTCCAATAATTCAAAAATTATCTCGAAAGGTGCCAGAACACCTGAGTTAATAGCCTCTTTTTCCACAAAAAACAAGCTTAACTTTTTACAGTGAAATAACATCAAGTCGATTAATGTCTGCGAACTATTAAAAACAAAACGTGTGCGTCGAGGGCTTAAAGCGGCCTTAAATGGACTTTGTCAGTAGCGGTCTCTCCGGTCTCTCAATGTGGCCTAGACGCTAAGGCCCGAGAATCGTAAAAGACTTGTGTCAGCGCACTTGGCCCGAAAGATTGCGAGCGAGCGCAGGAAACAGGCCGAAATACAAAGATCGCAAAATAAACATGCCATAAGCTCGTTAATCAATGCTAAGTTGACAGTTTTAAGTGGCTTTAGCGAGGGCAACCACACCACCAAAGCCAGTGGTGGCCAGAAGACTCCTGTAGTGCCGCATGATTTACGTGTTTCCCCCAAAAAAATGCGCTATATTTTAATTGAGTTGTGGAATTCATTTGAAAATTATTCGAAGAAACAGGATTTTTTAAAAAAGTAAAATGAAAATGGTGAACGAAAATAGCTGGGGGATAAGTAAGCAAGAATATAGATTTTTCGAGGTAAAAATAATAGAATTAAAAGTTATTTATTAATAGTTAATAATCCTGTTAATCTATCAATAATTGTTTTTAGAACTCTAACCCTTTAATATATACATTTTTCAGCCTATGCAACAAGTTAACCCATTACCCATCCCAGAAAACCGCTTAGTAAACGCTCGAAATGCGGCTACAAGTTCATTTAACGGCTGAGACAATCATAAAAAAGGGTTAAAGCCTGCATATGGTCATTCCAGCTCATTTGCTTTCGTCTCAGTTAATTTTTTTGTCTCACAAAGGATGAGGGAAGGCAGAGAGGTAGCTGAACGACAAGTCCATAAATCTTTTTGCCACAGAATCAGCCACGAGAATCCCCCCGATTGAGGATGAGGAGGATGTGAGGCGTTTAAGCTATTTATGCATGTTGGGTAATCCATTTGAAATGGGTCAACGACTACGGGCGAGCGCATAAAACTCCTTAAACGTTTCCAATAGCCCAGCCCAGTTCGAAGTTGAACAGAACACAACAAAAAAAGAAGGAGAAACATATTGGCTTGTTACCTTAATGAAGTCATAAATTTTCGCTATCGCATTCGGGGCATCTCTCGGAAAGCCAGCCCCAGTTCCACATTCGACGAGTGGAGTCCCGGAGCTACAGGTTTCTAAGGAATTCCATTTTTGGGGAATAGAATGCACACGGGGATACTCTGGAGATCCAAGTGTTTTGGCCCACAAACGCTCTCTGCGAACGGATAGTTAATCAGGCTTAGGCTGATATATGCTGACAGAGTCGCTCTCTGGTGTAGGCCGCCACTCTCCTGGCCAGGATCGAGGTATAGGGATCGAGGCCTCCCGCTGGGCGAGTATTCCGCGCATGAAAATGAAGTTATCACGCGACAAACAATGTCGGCCCAATAACTTTATATGGTTGTCATTATTAGTCTGAAATTAAATGGATTCGTCGGCCACAGAGGACGACACTCTGGCCGACTTATTTATGTGCTACCTTAATGGAGCCTCCCATCTACTCGAAATTGAGACGGCAATTTGCTATCCCTGGTATCCCATCTTCTCCTTCTCGTGTTGAGTTTTTATTTCGCATTACTGCGCACTGACCATGAATCACTTTACGGGGAAGAAGGTAGCTCCAAGGGTCTAGGAAAGATCGAAAGGAAAGAGCGATCTTCGGGGGGTAGAGGTATCTCTGGGATTTCTGGAATTTCAGGAAGAAGTGTAGCCTCATAATGGGGAGATAAATGGTTAAGGAGTTCTGGGAAGAAGGAAGGTTTTATGGGACAAATGTTTGGGTTTAGGAATTATGATTGAATTTTAAATAAAAAAGTAAGTAAATTGGGAAGTTAGGAATCTTTATTTCCAATTTGATTTCAAAGATTTTCCCCCTTACTTTCTTTTTATTTTAACTAGAAAGTGTTGCTTAAAAATATGCACTTATAGAAATCCAGTTCAGAGCCCCGAGGAATGGATTCCCCAAAAATATATAGATGAAAACTCCGGACCGGGCGCAATCAATTAAAATATCGACGTCTATCAGCATTATTATAAATCAAACGATAACATAAAATTGACACTAAAGGCGTTTCGCCCATTTTTCAAACCGACGGACAACGTCGACGACGACGACGGCGAGATTAAGGCCTCGGATATGGCATCCAGCATCCACCAGCTCCAGCTCGGTGGCCAAACTTAGATGGCGAAGGCGATGCCGAGTTGGAGATGGAGTCACATTTTATTTTATTTTATTTTTTTGGGCACTTTGAGAGCTGAACTTTGCTACGCATTTATGCAAATTATACGCAGCCGAAGCGGGAAAAACTGGTCCACGAAAAACGGCAAAACGCAAGGCGAAGTGCTCTCTGTAATTGATCAATTTCCGCCAGAGACCGGATCGGATCGAATCGGATTGGATCGCTGCGAGAAGTGAGAAGTTGGCAGACCCGCAGGTTGCCCCCATCGGCTTAGATTCGATAATGTGATGGCCACTTGATCTTGGCTTGATTTATGGAGTTCGCCGAGGGCTTGGCTTGGCTATTGAAATGGCTCTTTAGATTAAGTATTCCGTGTGTGTGAGCACCCACTATATGCCATATATATAGGGTCATCCATGGCGAGTTATGACACCTGTGCACCCACATCGGACATTCCACTTGATTGCCTCCAACGACGATGACTCTCGTTCTGCTCCAGCAATCAGACGCACTCAGCAAAAGTGCCAATCAAGCGCAGGACGAGGCGTCAACAAAGGATGCGCTCGTCTGCCGGTAATCCTGGGTGTGAACGGACCAAGGAGGACCGAGCAGCGTTGGATGGATGGCCTGAAATCGAAACCTTGTCGCTGGGGTGTCAATAACATTGTCCGAGCGAGTGCCTCCGGGCACGATTGTTGTCGTTGTTCTGGTTGATGATGTGAATGCGTTTTCAGCTCCATTGAACTGGCAGAGGTGGAGGCTACAGGTAGAGGTGGCTGCAGGTAGAGGCTACAGGAACAGGCAGAGGAACAGGCACAGGGCGAATGCTTGAGTCCAGGCCGGCACCGTGGACTATAGATGGTGGGTATCCAGGAAAGGTTGATGATCAAGCTTAAAAATGATTTATTAGCAGCTTTATGAATGTAAATTATGGGATTGCAGGGTTAAATATTGCATAAGATGTACCTAAATTAATTCTTCTATTAACCTAATTTAATTTATACAATTTATTTTATTAAAAAATCTTTAAAAATATATTTTAAATGGCTTACTCTTATTCAGGATACTCCTGTTAGGAGCTTCCCTTACCCTTAAAATGTAGAGTAATATTTATATAAATAATTTATTGGGTCTTACCACAAGGTGAAGTCTTTATTATGTTTAAGAATTTGTATAGCCTTCGTTGTTTTTATTTTTAATAATATTAAATCAAATCAAAAACTCGTATTTCTTAAAGTTTCTTTTTACTTGTAATATTGCCCCACCGTTGCCCAGAAATTCCAATTTAATTGCGTGAATCAAAGTTGTAAATCATTATGCTAAGTGCCCTTTAATGTCTCAAAATGCAGCTCATTTGCAAGTGCAGGTTCCCGAGAGCCAAGGCAAGTTGCAGTATCGACTGCCCTCGGGGCACAATCAAGGGAACCCAACGATATGGTATGGTAAACAGGAACAGGAGCGGCATAAATTGCTACTGGCCAGCCTGTTGGCTGACATAACCAGGGGGTTGCCTTCAAGAACGGCTTTCAATTATCAATTATAAAGTTAATATCTTCTTCAGAGCTCTCTCTCTCTCTCTTTGAGGTGTCACTTGCCTAGACTTAATGGTTCAATCAAAGCACTACCCTATCATAGCAACTAACCCCTACATTGTGGGCAGATAATGAAATGGCGCTCGTTTTAATTGAAATTCCTCCTCTTAACCAAATGGAAATCAATTCGTTTGTGGCCCGAAACCAAATTGCAGCGGCGTGTGAAGAGCACACCATCATCAGGGGGCGTTGGCCAGCAGCAGCTCATTGTGCATACGGAGGAGGCATCTGTGTAATTACGGAGCTGTCCATCCATCCGATAAACACCTTAAATATGAGCCTGTTAATTACTGTAATTTTGCAGGCCAGCGAGACCGGGCCCCCTGGATCGAAATGAGCCACTAAATGCACACACAACTGGCAAGTGGAAACTTGCGCGCGCCCCGGAGGATTAGGTGACCCAGTTCCGGAACCAATGCGACAGCTGTTGTCGTGGCATGCAACATCAATTATTCAGGGCCATCAAACTTGGGGCCAGGCCGACCGAAAGACCGAAAGTGCAAACAACTAAACCGAAAAGACACACACAAGTCAGTGCATAAAATATTGACAGCAGTCAGCCAAAAAAAAAAAAAAAAAAAGGGGAAAATTAAAAAACGATAATTAAACTAAGGGAAAGTTGTGGGTTTTGGAGGAGAGAGGGTAAAACAAAAGAAAGGTGGTGTTGGTTTATGGGTAATTTCATTTAATTAATTAAATTAATTTAAAAGCTAATATAAGATCTCTTTTGACTTTTTAATGAGGCGATTCAGTAGTAAATAAATGATTTCCTTTTTGTAATTAAATATTTTATGTTATTATTTGTTTTCCATTGAAATTAAGCTGAGCAAAACTCATTTTTTTAAGGAATATATAAAATTAAATGATTAATTTCTAACCAAGAACTGTGGGCGCCATAAAATATTGAAGTAATCCCTGCAGTTGACTTACCCTTAGCTTCCGTATCCTTTCTGCAAAAGCCCAGAGTGCCTCTATATATCATATTCCCCCAGCTAGATCTCAATTCCCCAAGTGTTAGCCAAGCTCCA